GCTGCCGTCTCTCCATTTTTCCTCCCTTACCTGTCTCCATAAAAGCTTTGTTTTCTTTATTTTCTATTATTCCCTCTCCTGTCTCCTCACCCCCCACATCCTATTCTCCTTCTTGTCATATATCCTTAGTGAAGTAATCTTTCCTTATTATAGGCCCCGCGGAATTCAAATCTCTATATGCTTTCTAAGGCGCATCACCCATTGAACTCAATGGGACTTATTTCCAAGTAAACATGCAGGAGAACAAATGCTTTCTGCCGTGTCTCCCATCACATTTTGAACAACCACGGTTAGCTATACGTGCTTCATACGTTCTAGTGCTTTGCTGATATAATATTCTGTGGAGTGAGTCTCTGAAGCATGCGACTCTTAAGATGTGATTACATTAGCACACTTTGCCTTTCCCAGAGATGATAAAAGTGAAGTACAATAAAGGGGTTGGAGCCCAATCGTGCTAATGATACATTCACACAACCACTTCAGCACACCCAGGTTGTCATTCAGCACACACAGAGGTGGTCATGTGATGGTTCAGGAAACCATACAGAAACTGGATTCGGTCAGCGTTATCAATCATGCTTCTTTGGACTTTTGTATTTTTTCTTCAAATCATTTCACAGAACACATGGGTCAGCCCTCTAAAATGTACCAAAGTCCTTCTCTATGATTCATAATGATGCTGTGTTTGTTTATAAGAGTCAATACTTATAACTTAAACATTGGGTTTTTGGTGGTGTGCTGATCTCATCTTAGTTTATGCACGAACAGATTGGATAATGGGCAAGTTCATTCCACATGTTCCCTGAAACACATATTCTGCTGGTCATGCGCTCCGCAACCATATGTGAGTATATGTGTATGGCCTCTTTACTTGGCCATCAGACATATCTGCAGAGAGTAGGGCTTGCCAGTATCAATGTGTGAAGTTAGAATGTACCAACACACACACACACAGCATTCACTGTGCTCTGTCTCCACTAATATGCACAATTTTCTCTTAATATACACATTTTTGTAACTTGTTTAGGTTGGAGAACTGCATTACAAAATTTGGAGAACTGCGAATTTTCAAGGACAGCTGTCTTAGGGGGCATGTATTGTTTCTCGAATTGTAAATAAAGTAGGTTCATGTTACAATGTGAACCGAACTGAATTTCTCTTCATTCTCCGTCGCTTGTCAGGTCCAAAGGTTTCATTCTTCCAACAAAAAGACTTGCATCTGTCAGAAGAATGAAACCTTTGGATCCAAATTATTATTAGACAAACTAAGGAGTGTGAAATTTGTAACTGAAACTGTCAAAGTTTACTTATGTAGTATCATTGGTACACAAAATGTTTCCCTGAGACAAGCAAAACAGATTAACCTGGGGAAAGGGAAGAATGTAAAAGTAACAGGCACTTAAGACTGTTTTCATGAAATGTATTCATTTATGATACTGATACATTTGATACTGATACTTCCACTTTTATTAAGAATAAGGGGACTTACAATTCAGAAAGGTACAAATTAACAATAAAACAAGAATAAAATTATATCAAATGTTTAAAAACCCCCAAAACCTGCAAATGTAGAAATGCAGTCAAATTTTCATTAAGAGCAACATACTTGCAGGGTCTACTGGAATAAAAAAAATTTTTGCTGCCTGTCAAAAAGTAAGAAGAAAGGGGGCTGGTACACCTCTCATGGGACTGTTCTAAAGTCTGGTGCCACAGTAAAAAAAAAAAAAGATTATGCATCCTAAGAAAAGAAAGGCCTAATGCCACCTTTGCCAACCAGATGCCTTCCAGATATTATGAACTACAATATCCATCAGCCCCAGTCAGCACTTTGCTGGCTGTGTGTCATAGGAATTGTAGTCCAAAACATCTAGAGGGCACCAGGTTGGTGAAGACTAGGCTAGTGGAAGAAATAGAGAAAGATAGCTAATCTTATTTTTTATTATTATTATTTTTTAAATGTGTGCTACAAGTTAGATTCCACAAATGAGACAGTGGCACTCTAGTGTCACATAGGCTGTCTTCAATGAAAGCATCTTACAAATATTATAATTATCGTATATTAGTATATTCCTATTTTATCTGTATGTATATTAAACTGAAATCTCCATTGCTATTTTCTGTGCAGTTTTCATACTTCTGAGTTTCAAGTTAATTTTCTTACTTTAGCCTTATCTTATATTTATCAAATCTAAATTAATCTATTTCTCGTCAGTTATTTGAATACTGATAATTCTGCTAGTTAACTTTTTCAAATTCATCTTCAATTCTTATATCATGCTCTTTGAGCATTCTGACTGATAACTAGAGCTACCAGCTACATCCATCATTTGCAAGCAAGCAATCTGGAGATATATCTGAAATTAACAGAAATCTCTAAAATATTTAATTACTTTGAAAGATCTTCCATACAAAAGTCTTTATATTTCCTTAAGTAAAAAAAATAGCAATCCTATAAAGCCATGGAGCCTATTTAAAAATTATTTACTAATGAAATCCATTATGTTCTCAGAGTACAATAATTGAATTCTGTGGGATTTATTCCCTATTAAGTATATTTAAGATTGTACCTAAGATACAAGAGCTTAATTTTAAGATTAAACCTTATTTGACATATTAGCCCACAGAAAGTGTGTACACACACACACACACACAAATACAGATATAGTCCAATAAATATTGGATGACATACCCCAAGACTGGAACACTTCTACACATGTGGTGATCCTGTTCCCTATAAGACAATTGTGGAATTTAGTATTTGCTGAAATTGATAAAATATTATGACAAAATGTGCCTGCACGTTTGGTCATGCTCCACTAGATCAACAAGACAGCTTGAACAAAGACTTTATTTTTTTTAGTTGTTCACTAATAACAGCAATGGGGTCATGAAGCGTCGGACAAGACTGAACGACAACAACAATAACAGCAAACAAAGAGGCAACTAAATCCCAGTATTGCCATGTAGAAATTGCCATGATGGAAAACATGAAAGAAGTGAAGCTAATCCAGAAATATTGTATGTTATCTGGCCTCCTTTCCTAAGTTATATGTCAAGTATGAGCAGACTTTAGGCTTATAGGATATACTCTATTTCTTTTAGTAGAACCCAGAAGTTCAACAACAAGAACCAGGTACCGGTACTAAAGGGCAGAACTACATACTGAGAGGAATCACTGATGCTAGTGGGGTTTAGCTGATGCATCAAAGCTTAGAAGTATCAGGCAGTTGTGAAGGCCCCAAACACTCAGAAGATTGTGTAGGGAAAGCCTGCTGTTTGTTCCTTCCCACCTCTGTGCCATGCACAGCAACAGCCACACCTCCGTCTCTCAGTCGGATGGCAAAGTGTTGCAAGGTAGTGGGTGCTCAGGTGTCCACAAAAGTGGTTGGTTGCAAGGAACACTTGCCATTGTTTCTGGTCGCTCACTTGATCTCTGACTCTCAGAGGTGCAACAGGTTGGGTATGCCCAGGACACAGAGGGGAGGAGTGCAGGAATCCAAGCAGGGAGAGTTGGCTGCTTGTGCCAGAAGGTGCCACCTCTTATTCTTCTCACTTGTGTGCCCCCCTCCAGAAGGTGCCACGGTAAGAATTTGGGAAAGGGCCACAGCTGAGCAGGCCTGCTGCTCAGATCACCCCCACTTTCACTGTCTCTTTCTCTCAATGTAGAAAAAGGCTGGAAGACCTAAGGGAGCAGTCATTACAAGGAGCGGCTGCCACGGCTTCTGACATATACCACGCCCTCCCCTCTTTCTGAGGAGAATCTGCTTGCTCATTCACTCTTTGCCAAGGAGACCTGAGAGCAGCGAGTGAGCAGGTAGAGTGGACAGAAGCAGTAATGACCACTCCTAGACATGCTAGGCTCAAACCCCACTGCCCAGAGGGAGGACCTTGAATGAACAGCTGCATCTGTCCACTTGCGCATCCGACTTCTCCCAATCCTAGGATTTGGGCCCAATCCTAACTGCTGCACCACCCAGAGAAAGGAAAATGGGCACAGCTGGATGACAGCAAATTAACACTTCTGAGCAAAGTGCCACAGGGAGGTAGGGTGGAAATGTTTTAGAAATATACAAGAGCCACTTCTTTGGCTGCCTTCTTTCCCTTGTGGGGAGGACTGGGCCAACCCAAAGCCCACCAAAGGCATATTGCTAAGGGTTCCCTTTAACCTGAAATTGAGCACAGGATTCAATATCTGGGGTTAAGCCCAGTTCCCCATTTCAATCCCAGATGCATCTAGATTGGACTGGGAATGGGAATATGAATCTGAATCCCTGGAGCGCTGCTGCCAGTCAGTGCAGACAGCACTAAGCGAGATGGACCAATGGCCTTGCTTGGTCTATAAGGCAACTCCCTATGCTCCTGTGGGGAGAACTGGCTTTCATTGAAACTCGATGGCCTTTCCCCACATCCTTTCCTGGCAGAGCTGCCCTTTCGCCACCGCTTCTCGCCCCGCCCCTTGTTTGGGGGCATTTCTACTCATCCCAGTGACCCCACGGTTCCTTCTCCCTGGCGGGATTCCAGAGGGCTGAGTTGCTCCTTCCGCCCACCTACCCAGGCGCGCGCGCCCGCGCAGGCGCTCCTCGACCCCGCGAACTGGCCCGCCTCGTCGCGCCCCCTTCGAAGGAGAGGGGGAGTCTGAGACAAGCTCCGGGCAAAGGGTTAAGGGCACCGGCTTCGCGGCGGCTTCACGTTCTTAATGGGCATGTGCGCAGCACTCGCACATGCCCATTTAGGCTGGAGACTGGGCAGTTTCTGCTCTCGCACAGAGAAGAGCGTCGAAGCAGCAACGCGCGGAGAGAGAGAGGCAGGCAGAGTCGGCGAGAGGGAAAAGGAGCCAGAGAGAGGGGAGCGGGGACGCCAGCGAAGAGGGAGCTGGAGGAATTGGCCAGACGTCTGTGGCTCCTGGCACCGGGAAGCGGCGAGTCCCTTCGCTATGCGCTGACAAAGAGAGAAGAGGCGGCAGCTTGACACCAATGAAATACACAAAACTGTATCTCTGCGCTGATCCGGGTCGCGAAGCCATGAGGGAGCCGTTCGCCCCGGCGGGGAGCAGCCCTCTCCCGAGCGCGCTTCTTCGGGGACTCCTCCAGAGGTGAGCCGGGAAACTTTGCCATGCGCCACGTCGCTCCCAGCTCCGCGCCCGGCTCCCCTCGTTCCCTGAGGCGGCTGGGCAGCTCTTTCGCTCGGGCGGCACAAGCCGGCGGCGCCGACATGGATCTGACCTGAAGTAGCCTCGGGTCGCCAACAAAGCAAAACAAAAACCAAGTGGGGGATCCAGTCCTCGGAACAGAAAACCCCGAGGCGGGCACGAAGAAGGCAGGGAGCCACCCACCTCCCTGTGTGTTAAGATGAGGATTCGTCCCTGGTGATTCGCAGTCGGCGATCGAGACTTCCAGCTAAGTTACCTATAAAGGTTCTTTTAAATTAGTATTATTATTTAAAGAAAACCCTCCCATCTGGCTTGTGTTTCATGCAACCCCTCGGATCCTTGAGTCGCGTGAGAGAGCCAGCGAAGATGGGGGCGAGGAAGCGCTGCTTCGCCTAGCCGCCTGCTCCGAGCCACCTGGGCATTGGCTAGTCATTTGTTCAAGCTCAACAACTGTCATGAAAAAGCCGCGGAGGAAACTGCCCCTCAACTCGCTCGCAAGTGGCGGCACCACCACCAGCAGCAGCGTGTGCTTTGAAACGGCGAGTTTCTCCCCCTGGGGCTTTTGGACCGAGGAAGAGGCGAGTCTCTTTCCTGTCATCGTTTAGAGACGCGGGTGGGGGAGGAAACCCATTCATTCAGTTCTGCAGGTGTGTAATCAGCCGGAGCCCCACGATCTCCTGTGGATCTACAACCGAGCAGGAGCAGCAGCAGCAGCAACAAATCCCAACACCTCCCAAAGGATCAGGTGTCGAGGGCTTCTGCGTGCGAAATTTTTATTATTATTTTTAATATATATATATCTCCCTCCCCCATCCCTGCCCCCCACCATTCTCTCTTCAAGCAGGGGAGCGGGAGCTCCACTGAGATTAGTCAGCAAGTGTGTCAAACCCCCACTTCAATCTACACACACACACACACACACACACACACACACACCCCTCTCCTGGACCAACAAACAAAAACACCCCCTCCAAAAAAAGAGGCACCCACCCACTTGGCTGGGCAGAAAGCGCAACCACCCTCCAGAGAAACAAAGAGGTGTTGCCACCCATCCGATCTGGGTCTCCTTCCTTTCCCCCCCACCCCCTTCTGGGTGTTGCTTCCTCGGCGCCGTTGCCCTTTTCCCTGGAGAGTCTTTGTTGCTGTTTAAAGTCAGACAATGAGGCGCCGGGAAACTCCCCTCGGCAGCCTCCTGGACGGAGGCGAGCAGCTCTAGCGCCCGCCGTGCGCGGAGAGGCTGGCGGGGAGCGAGAGGCAGAGTTGCCTGCCCCTTTCCGCCCGGAGGGGCAGCTGCTGCCGCCGCCGCCGCCTGCCTGCCTGGGCTCCCCGATGGTTTTGTCTGGGCTCTGGCAGAGCCTCCGATCCCGTCGCGCGCGCCTCGCCCTCCTGCGCTGCTTCTGCACTAGGATGTTGCGGCAGGTCTTGCACAGGGGGCTGAGAACGTCTTTCGCCAGACTCGGCCACTTCATCGCCAGCCACCCGGTCTTCTTCGCCTCCGCGCCCGTCCTCATCTCCATCTTGCTGGGCGCCAGCTTCAGCAGGTACCAGATCGAAGAGAGTGTCGAGCACCTGCTGGCGCCCAAGCACAGCCTGGCCAAGATCGAGAGGAACCTGGTCAACAGCCTCTTCCCCGTCAATCGGTCCAAGCACCGGCTCTACTCCGACCTGCATACTCCGGGCAGGTACGGAAGGGTCATCATCACCTCCTTCGTGAAGGCGAACATGCTGGACCAACACCACACCGAGCTGATCTTAAAGGTAATGCCCGAGCGTGTGTGTGTGTGTGTGTGTGTGTGTGTATATAGTGGAGGGGAGAGAGGCAGAGATGAATCGCCCCTCTCTCCTGCATCCCCACTCCTTGAATCGTGGTAGATTTGCTTCTAAATGTGAACAGATGTGTCTGCATCATATATTTATCTACGCGGCTGTGTCTCTCTGGGTAACTGTTCCTTGCCCTGAGAATGCAGCTGCCAAGTCACAGCCCTGCAACAGTTGGGTTGACTCCTGGTTGCAGAACAGAGTAGAGATTTCCTCTCATCTTGGGAGGTGGTGAGGAGCAGAGGAGGTGGTGGGGTGTGTGTGGAAGATTTTGTGAATGAAGGAATGACACTTTAAAAACATTCTGCCTGTATTATACACGGATTGTCCCCACCACCACCTCTTTCCCCCCTCTCTTGTTTCTATTGTGCAAGTTGAGGCAATGGCAGTTAGTTTTGCTGATCTGCAGTTGAACCTAAACTTCAAAATTGATTTAAGGGGATTTGTAAAAGTCGACCGGTTGTGGGCTGCTCTGGACTTAATTCCTATAGAACATTTTTTTTTTAAAAAACCACAACCTTAGTATTGTAACAGCTCTTGCAAGTTTGTCAAAGCCAGGTGTTGTTTTGTTTGAAATCTATTTCTTTTATGGCATTTCACATGCTATTTTCACACACAGTTTCAAAATCAAAGGAAAGGGTATATTGTTTAAATGGCGTCACTCTATAGATGTTTGCTATGTAGTATAATGCATGTTATTTCATTAGGTTTTACCTTCCTGGGTATAAGCGGTCCCACCTATTTCAGTAGTCTGTCGTAATTTGTCAGGAATAATGTCCGTGTCTGTATTACAATATATACTCCAATCATTTTGAGTACAGGCTTAGAATAAAAACATGAGAAAGAGCTGCAGGTGAGTGGAAAGAAGAACAATATGATGAAGGGGAGGAAAACAAATTTCTGAAACATGGAGAATTGTTTTAGAGGTGTGGCTATGACTAGCCCCGTACACGCTTTTCAGCATTAAACAACTGCACTGCATGTTTCCCTTGCCTCTTTTGGGAATTGCCAGACAGTGATTTTCTGGAAACAAAAAAAATGTTGACAGGTCTTCAGAAGACACTGCAAAGTAATCTTAAATGTTTTGACCTTTAGAGTCTCTCTCCTCAACTGAGAAAATGCATATTCATAGAGATAGTCTTGCAAGTTCCACCAAACCATATGCTAAGCATTCCATGATAGAATAGAATCAGTAATACCAGCATTTATCTCACATTTAATTATTTGTATTTGAATATTGATATACTGGCCCAGAAATATCAAAAAGGTGATGTAGTTTGTGTCTTCCCATAGAAAATTTCCTGGCAAATAAGGAAACCATAGGGATGTCAATCCCTATTCCTTTATTCTCCCTGAGATACATTCTGTTATAAGTAGGCATAGGATTAGCATAGATGTTCTCCTGGTTTGCTAGCTCTAGAAAAGAGACACAAATGACTCTGAATCTTTTCCAAAACCCTTTTATGCACAACATTATCTACCAGTGCAACTTAGAACTGATAGTTATGTCAGAAAGATTGATAATTATATCAGTGTTCGGTTCAATCTAATTTATAATCAGACTTTGGCCACTGAATGTTTATTGTTCATTTAATGAGATGGTGGTAAACCACACACCACAGTCACTTTTGACACCATGGACTTTTGCAGTTAGCTAGAAATCATTAGGCATGCCAAATGTTCTCTGTTATTGAATAGTTGCCATCTATACATTGTGCAATGACCTCTGTTTTAACCGCTTCTCTTTGGGACTGGTGCCATGTTCAGGTGAATGTGTGGTTGAGCCCTTGAAGGATCCTGGGAAGTTGGGTTTAAGCAATGAGAGACAGGACACGAAATTCTTGACATGTTGTGGTCATGTGGCGTTGAATTGTTGAGCAGCAAAAGGAGGTAACAGGTAGAGGGTTATAGGAACTTAAGCTGTAATCCTAAACCTACTTTCTAGGGAGTAAGCCCCATTGGCTACAGTGGGATTTGCTTTAAAGCAAACGTACATTGGGTCTCACTGCACGTCATCTGGTTCCCATAATGTTCCACCTTGTAGCTAAATTAAGAACTGTAGAATTGGAAGGGACTCCGAGGTTCATCTAGTCCAGCCCCCTGCAATGCAGGAATCTCAACACGCAGTCTCCCATCCAGTTTTAAACCATGCTGGACCCTGCTTAGCTTTGCAAATGTTTTGGCAGTTTTATTAGATGTTTCATTGACTACCTAATAGGCAAAAGTATGACCGGGAGCTAATGGCTATAAGATTATTGAACGTATTGTTTTGTCTTTCTTCAATCTATGTCTTCTGTCTGTCTAGAAACGTTCTGTCCCCCTATTTTCCTTTCTCCTTTTTTCTCTGAAAGATGGCCATGGCACTACTGGTGCAACCCATCAATCAAAATTATTATCTCGCCATCTTAGGAAGATCTCATGTTTGGAAAAGTCATCCCCACTTCTATAAGCAATATGAGGAAGGGTCAGGGTGGAACAACTGCTTCTCATGCAGAAGATTCCAGGTAGGGCTAAGAAGGACATTCTGGAGAACCACTGCCAGTCAATACTGATCTACATGGACCTGAGATCTAACTTAGTATAAGGCAGCTTCTTATGTTTGCTCCTAAGTACTAGATGGAGAATTAATAATGTTTTGATACAAAGCAGTTGTGTCTATCAATATGAGTATCCAGGAGTTGAGAGGCTGTTGATTGTTTGATTTGAGCACTGTTTCCTGTGAGTGGCTAATGGTCTTGGGACATAAGGGCAGGGCTATTTTTACAATAATGAGTCACCCTTAGAAGAGAAAGGGGGAAAAAATCCATGGAGATCAAACCAAGATCAGCGAGATTATATCATGGAGGAGAGGGCTATCAAAGGCTACCAGCCATGACAACTCTGCTCTGCCAATACACTTGAAGGCAGCAATGCTTCTGAATACCAGTTTCTGGAAGCCACAGGAGGGGGAGAGGGTTTTTGTGCTCAAATCCTGCTTGCTGGCTTCCCACAGGCATCTGGTCGGCCACTGTGAGAACAGGATGCTGGACTAGATGGGCTATTGGCCTGATCCAGCAGGCTCTTCCCATGTTCTTATCAGCAACTGAAGGCTCTCCTAGCTTAAGATGGACCTCAGATCGTAGTGTTACATCTGCAGCTCATTCTCCACTGACAAGTAAATTTTAGCATGCCACACTCTCTGAATTGCTTGCTCATATTAGCAACTCTGAAATGAAGATGCTCTTTATATCTCAGACCCAGTTTGGACACTGCTGATTTCTGCCTTTCTTTTTAACCAGGATTTCTAAACAAACTCCTCATTCGCTGCTAAAAGATAAAATAAAATAGGATTGCAGTGTATTTATTTTTCCCCACTTTGGTTAACCATGTCTGTTTTAAAATTTCAATATAACCATAGAGCCAAGCTCCAGACTTCCACTTGCAAGTATATTTGGGCTGCTGTTAACAGCTACTGCTTTGCAACTGGTTTCTATTTTTTGACAGGCAAAATGATGAGGAAAGACACCAGTGTTCTTTCCCAAATCTAGCAAGTTCCCTCGTTCCTGACAGAAGTCATCTACTAACTGAGAGGGGATTTTAAATGAGAAAACACAATCCTGTGTATGTCCCACCATGTTCATTGGAGTTTACTCCTTAGTAAGTTTGTTTAGGATTGCAGCTTAAGCTGATACTGTCTTAACATAAAAAAAAGAAACTCCCTGGACTTGGGTATAGTAATTTCCCAATGGCACTGGACTTTTGTCAAATATTTAGTGGCACTGAAAGCTGATAAAATGAAAACAGGAAAGCGAGACCTGTATGTTTCTACTCATTCACGAGTCCCATTGAGTTCAGTGAAACTTATTCCTAGGTAAGTATGTATAGAATTGCAGCCTAAAATGTTTGTTTTATTTCAGGGCGCCTAGAAAATTAGTGCCTTTATCTTAGCCTAAAGAGATATTCTGGATAATGACAAAAAACAGTGACCTAAGGGGACCTAAAGAGGCACATTAAACCTTAGCTGTATACCAGTGTTTCTCATTGACAGTCCTCATTGACAATCCTGAAAATGCTTAGCAAAGCTGCCGTAGTGTATCTAGAGCAGGGCTAGGGAGCCCAGGACCCTCCAGATGTTGTTGAACTGCAATTTGCATCATCACTGAATATTGGTCATGCTGGCTGGGGCTGCTGCATTTGCTGGGCCCCCATCTTTGATGCAGATCAACAAGACACTTATTAACCAGTCATTTTCTGCTGGGACAGGTGACTATTGCATCATTTAGTCTTCTGAGAGTCTAGTGGGAGTATCTGTTTAGGATTAGGGTGATTTCTTGCTTGACTGGAGGCTAGTACAATTCATGAAGGGCAAGGAGCCAAGATTGAAGTCTACATATGGGAAGGTAATTTCTTTCATGTAGGTTTATAATGTAAAAGATGGTGAAGTCACACTTGCACACTACATGAGTTTCTCCCAATAAGAGTAAGAAACATTTGGTATTTGACATTTGAAAATAGCCTGAAGCACACAAAAAGCAGGGGAATTATGCTTGCACAAAATCCCTACATGAATATGGTCCATTGGCTTGCCAGATCTTATACAGGCATCTCTCCTACAATCTAGCTTGGAAGGCAAATCACAGGGCCTATATATCTACCTCAAAGAGCTAGGGCTGATATTGAAAGGTTGTGAAGAACAAACTATTAAATGTGGCCTTTTCTTCTGACAATTAAAAGCTTCCCTTACTTCCACTAGTACCACACATTTCCTTTGACTTCTTTATTTTAAAAAGCACCTTTGTTGAGGTTTTCACACATTTAAATTATCTCCTTTTAAACCAACTAATCCATAAATCAGCTAAAATATTTTAAACAGTAAGTAACAGATTAAAACTTTAAAATAGTTTCTAAATGCATACATTTCAACAGGATGCTACAAAACTGGTTTTGAGCTCAATTGGATATAATGGCACTATATTCCAGCTTTTCATGAAAAACGCATTCACCTGTCCTGTCAGAATTGGGAGGCAAACCATTATACATTTTTGGTTCAGGACCCATTACGAAGTTCTTTTTTTTATTATTTGGTTCCACTTCAGTTCAGTACAGGGTGATATGGCAAACTGACCTCGCGAGTTCCATTCCAGTTCTAGTTCATATAATTGTGCTACCAATCTTAATCCTAATCTTAATCTAAGATGGCTAAACATACCAGAAAGAAATGCCTACAGTACATACAGAAAATTGTAATGTAAAAAGGAGAGAGAGAGAGGACTGGGGTTGATCTGGGGTTATATTACATGACATTAAAATATATAATTTGATGACAAAATTTTTTTTTAAAAAAAAACAAACTTGCACACATACCATTCATCTCCATTCAGCAAACTTTCCCCCAGTACCTTAGATGTACTTTAGGGTAGTCACATATACATTGCCAAAAAGAGGACACAGATCTCCATATGACAATTTGTATGTACCAATGCAAAATTGGAAATCTGCTAAACAGAAATACAATACATCCCACCATAGTAGGGGAGGCCTGTGACCAGATGACCTCTGCACCTGCTCTCCTATTTAGGCATCACACCAAACCAGAATGGCTTATCTGCTTTAATGTTCTGTTTTGCTCAGTGCTCTCATCTCCTGGTGCAACAGCCTCCCTACACGTATATAAATAATGGTTGTCAATTCAGACATGAAGCCAAATAAAGGGAAGGGCTGCAGATCAATGGCAAAGCATCTGCTTTGCATTCAGAATGTCTCAGGTTCAATCTTTGGCATCTCCAGGAATGTTACCTCTCTGAAACCCAGGTGAGCTGTTGCCAATTAGCATAGACTCGAACTAGATGGACCAGCAGTATGGGTGGTACCAGGCGGGGGCAGTGAGGCACACGCCCCCACAAGAAAAAACCTTTTGCCCCCCATTGCTGGACTCTGATTAGCATCTACTGTTATTTTTCTTTCAGAGATGCTAACATGTGTGACATAACTTGCCCATCATGAAATATACTTTGCCCCATCTGTGCCGCCCTCCCTCCAAAAAAAACTTTTTTCTGGTGCCATCACTGGCCAGCAGTATAATATAGCCTGCTATATTCCTATGTTTCAGGAAGCTTCGTTATGGTTTAGTAACTGCAGTGATGTCCCAGCTGGAAAACCGGTTTGCAACTGAACAGCTACCATGCTGACAGAAATCGTTCAATGCTTCGCATACACATAACACCCATGGGCTCACCCTGGTTTACACACCTACCTTTATGACTTTCCGTAAATTCTGCCCAGGTCCTAATGGGCAGCAGGAATATGTGCACCGTGACATAACTGGGAAAATCTCTTGCATCTGATGCAGGAGCTGTGCTTCCCCACTCAAAGTGCTATCCTAGGCTGAGCTGGCACCACCATTAGGCAAAGTGAGGCAGCCCTCTGGAGCTTTCCTCCACCCACCTCTCCTTCTGGAGGATAAAGCAGTCTGTGTGCGCACCACACAGACTGTTATGCACTCCTAAGCTAACCTGCTACTGCCCTTGAGTATTGTGGAGGATGCTGTCCCATTATAGCAGAATTGAACTCTATTTCAGCTGCCAGTCCACTCAGCTTCTATATGTGGAATGGGGGATGGTACCATCTTGCCCTTTGCTTCAGACAGCAAAATTTCTTGGCCTGGCACTGAACCTAGGCAATTAGCTATGATTACCTGCTTAAGTGAAAAAATATGTAAATAAGCTATGGTATTTTTTTCCAGAAGACAACCCCTGCTATATACGTATGTAAAATACCCTATAAATGCAAAAGGAAATATTATCCATACCTTATACCATGCTAAAATAAAATCAATGTTGATGGAATCCTTTCAGTATCCTGTCTCATGAGCTGGCTTTGCAACTCCCAGTGTAGATTTTATCAACTCTTGACATTCTGAAATCATGTATCATTCCCTAGAAATCACGCTAGAGTTAGAAATCATGAGAGTGGAATATCTTCTTGGCCTTTTGCCTAAGATTAAGTGTAGAAAATCATGAGATTGAACAGGTTGCCCTGAGATTTGGGAAAGGGTATCATCAATATAATGATCACCAAGCTCTTTTTCTTCTTTTCAGCAGAACCAAGTCAGGTGGTAAGGCCCTAAATAGGTGCCTGATGCCACTGACAGATCAGGCAATGGACTACAGCGGACTGGGTTCACTGAAGATCAATTGAGATGAGACAGAGATATTGAGGGTGGGAGCCCTAATTTATATTGGGAGTCAGTGAATACTTTGTTCTGAATGGAGTTAAACACCTTCCTGAAGGATCAGGTGTGAAACATAATGTTTCTGCTCTTGTCATGCTTTGTCTTGAAATCAAGAATGCTAGAAAATTATTTTTTGTTTCAATGAAAAATCTGATTCCCCAAGCTAAGGCATTAAGTGTAATATCATTGTGGAATGAGCCATAAACATCTCAGAACTGCATGACAAAGGACATGGTTAATGCAAAGCATCTTTTTTGTAAGAAAGAATTATATATGGGCCACTGGTTTCATTAAAACAGCTTTTGGTGAGAAATGAGACCTTATCTCGTGGCATTTTCACCATGGAAGTATGGTCAACATTTTTGGATAACTGTAGTCCATATTTAAGTACTAGATGGACAGCTGAAAAGATATAGCCTGTCCTTGAAGTAGAAGGTTTCCTTTTTTCTCTTTGCTGTAAAATAGAACTGCTGGGGCACAAAATGCCCCTCATCCTATCCAGATGTGGAAATGGTAAATCACAAAGAAAGCCCAGTTATGGTGCAAATGGATCACCCTGTAAATATAAAATCTGAGTGATATTGAATTGGATGGCAACTAGTGGCAAGTGTTTTCCTACCTTTTTAGTAATGTATAAATATTTTAGCCTCAGAAACCATAGGATAGATATGGTGAGACAATCATCAGATGGTGGAGCACCATTAACAAAGGGATAAGTTTCTGACTCACCCAGACGGCTGTGTCAACCCACCCTTGCAGTCCTATAAATGTGTTTAGGATAGTGATGCTTCTTTCACACTCAATTGACATAAATAAATTGCATTGCACTGCATATGAGCATCATGTAGTGATTGGCCTATATGCTATGAATCATGCAGGGGAAACCGATAGTATGTAGAACATCATAGGCTCCAGCTCCTAGGGGCCAAAGCACTTTCACTTCTCCCCAATGTATTTTTTGAGGGGGCTGGGCCCCCTCAGTGTTCAGAGGGTGTTCAACTCCGTCCCCTGGCTTCTCACAACACCACACACATGATGTCAGGACATCACGTCTGGGCCCCACTATCTTCATTAGAAGTTGGCTCCTCTGTAGAACATGCAGATTTGGAGTATTATTCTATCTAGCTCAGTATTGTCTTCTAGCTGGCAGTATTCACCATCCTTTTTTTGGAGATGGCAGGGATTCTGTTATCATTACATATTCAATTTGTTAGCAAATTGCAGGGCAAGCTCTAGGCTACTTACAACTAACTTTAAAACATACATAAATGTTAAAGCTAGCAACCATACATAAACATAGAAATTTAAAGTGGAGGTTGATCCATCAGAGTAAATGGATCTACCCAGTCCTGCATGCCTATGTTTAGAATTTTTAAAAACTGTCTTGTTTTAGCACTTTGGTGTTTGCTACCCTGGGCTCCTTTAGGAGGAAGGGTGGGATAGAAATTTAATAAGCTCACCATGCCAGGCAATTGTATATATGCTTGAAGGAATGTCCAAAATATGATAAATATCAACACACACATAAGAGTACTGAGAATCCCATATGAATGTTGTAGATTGCCAAAAATAGGTATGTTTTTACAGTTCTCAGCTGTATGGCAACAATCATATTTAGGGGTGGTCAACACTTACCGGTGTATCTGCAAGGTTTCAGGCATTCAACAAAGTCATCTGGGCTTGTCAGTATTAGCGTGTAAATGTTAACTTTAATCTGATTTTGAATATTCGCAACGTATTGTATATCCATCACTAATTCTGGCAGTGAACTTGAGTGGCTGAGTGCCTATTAAGTTGGAAGTGAAACAGCCCCAACCAAAACAAAGTACTGGGGACTCTCTAAGTGTGATGGTAATTGAGTTTGCAATTAAAAAGAAAAGATGCCCCTTAAAAATTAAAAAAAAAGCCTGACAAGGCCCTGTGACCCTCTAAGGAATGTTGAGGTAACAGATTTGGGAGTGGAGAAACTGGATGGGGGGGAGAGAACAGGGAATTGCCCTTCTTAACCCCCTAACCGCTGATAATAAGAGATGCAAGCTGTGACTTTTTTATATGTATAAAAAAACCACCATCCTTTCTCTGTAGCAAGCAGAGATGTTTCAAGAAGAATAAAGAAAGCCTTTTTCCCTTTCCCAGTCTCAAAATTACCATTTCTCGATACAGCTATAAATGCTGAGATTCCCAGGCTGGCAGACTGCCCCAAATCCGAGTCCTCTAGCATGATATAGCACAGCAGGGGATTGCCTCAGAGAGGTAGGATGGAATAAAGGGTCCTTTTTTTTCTTCCCCCTCCTCCTGGAACTGGAAACACATCCAGACCTAAACAAACTACAAGCACAATTTGCAGAGACCTGAATTCCAAAGGGTGGGGATATGCTGGTCCCTGTTGTACGTAATAAGATTTGTGCTAAGTCACTATTAGCATCATCAGTGTTTTTCCCCCTCCCTTGGGCTCCACTGTTCCAGCTCCCTCACAGAAGGAAGCTAAACAACCCCCCTTTAATACGTTCTCCGTACTTTGCCAGCCACCAATGAGGCTCCTGAAAGCCAGGAGGAAGTCACTAGCCTAAGTGACCTCCTTGAACTCAGGTGCTGACGAACTCACTAGGGCAGAATCCCCAAAATAGACTTTGTTTTTGAAACAGCCTCTTAAGATTTGTCTTCTGGGATGCCTGCCACTGACATTTGCAACATTTCTCCCCCATCAAAGCTCCGAGGAGATAATTTTTCTCTTTAATGAGAGACCCTGAGGTTCTCCTGCAACAACTCTTGTATAATGACATGGCTCCAGGGGTGTGTGGCTTCGTAAAGAAAAATGCCTCCTTGCCAAAAGAGTTTTTAACCCTACCTACGTGCAGCACCCTCCCTCGTTCTTCTAACCACAGGTTGCTCTTTGTCCTTGGCCTCAAAGTCAATCTGTAAACAACAGAGGACAGAATTTATAGTTCCGCGGTAGTGTCACAAGTGTCAGGCTGTCATATCGGCAACGTTTCTCTATTTTTGTCAGATTACTCACTCTGCTGGAACAAAATATATCCATCACGCTAATTTTATATGGCGAGCTATTTATTGCCACATGTCTAGTGACACAGCATAATTTAGAGTAACAATGTACCATATTTCCAAACAAAACACCACGTACAATGTTCTGAAAAGAGAAGCAAAAGAGAGAGAGAAATCAAATTGAAATGTTTTTGAAGCGGTCGAGGACAGACACACACTGCAGGGTTGAGGATGGGCAGGCTGTTGTATGAAACGCAGAAAATATCTATTTCACTACTGCCCCATTTGGGATTAGTTTTATATAAACCAAGTAATCCCAATGTCCTTAATTCCAGATGAAGGCTAATTTTGGAATGCCAACTAAGATATAGCTATGCCATTTATTATCAATTGCAAACTCAATTCCTGTGGTGATGTGTTGGCTCCAGGTTGTTGTTGGGGTTTTGTGGGGGGGGGGTTCCTTCGCCCCCTCCCCTCTGCATTGCAATTATCTGGTTGCTTTTTCTCTGCTTGTGGAGGAAAAAGGCAGACAAATCAGCTGGCTGTGGCAGCTTTTGTTCCTGTTGCTCATTCCTGTTTCTTGCTGATGCTCTCCTCCTGGGCCAGAGGACCAAAGCAGGGTGTGTGGTTGGCAAAAGCAGAGCAAAAGCGGGGGCAAGGGGCTCCGGGGGTCAGCACAAGTGTGGGCCTCAGCAAGTGCCCGGCAGTGCCAGCCCCTGACGCCAGTCCTCTGGTTGTATGTGAAGCAGTTCTATGAAGCATGTTTAGAGTGCTTTCCCCTGGCCGTAGATCATCTCCTCACTATAGGTGTGCATCTTTATTTTTTAAATGCTTGTGTTTCCTTTGAGCCAACAGGTGAAAAAAAATGGTTTCAGGATACAGAGAAGAGTGACTGAGGTAGTGAGCACCCAGCTCCCATTAAAATCAGTGGGAGTGTTTTCTGTTGTTCTGAGTCAGGAGTGGATTAGTTGAAATCTGCTTTGGGCTCAGGTTTTGCTGATGAACTTTCAGCTTCAGCTACAGAAACCTCTTTTTGTGTTAGGCAGCTTAGTCTCATCAGGGTTTGGGGGTGTTGCTGTTGTTTTACATGGTGGGTTAATTTTATTTCTTTTATTTTTCGGCCATAGATTTGATCTTAGCACCACATTGTACAACCAGGTTTACAGGATTTCAGGGATTATGTAACTGTGCAAAGGGATGCTCCTGACCTCCTACCGGAGCAAATGCATGCAATTTGTTTACTTAAAAGGAACAGCATAGACTTCAATACTCTTTGTGTTTTGTTTGGATTTTTTTTTTTAAAGCATATTGTACCTTTGTGTATTGTGCTTTGACATTTGTGAATGCAATCAGATCGTTTCCCTTTTATGTTTTGAAGGATCTTGTTAATGGGACTGGGGAGAATCAAAATGATGTTCTTCCCCCCTTTTTATATGCAGACTCCCCACTGTTCCCTATTTGTCTTTAGGTTTGCTGTGTTCTTTCAAATAAGCACCCTATAGCAGAGCCTTGAGAAGGACCGAGCCAACAACTAGGGATAGAGTCTTCTCTTCCAAGCAGAGACCGAGAGAAACTGGTCCAGTTGTCTATTTACAGTGCTATTTACACCAAACCATCTTTTCCTTACTCCCCAAAGCAACTTTTCATGTTTGTTAAAAATAATGTGCTTTAAAAGGGGGGGGGGAGAAGAGTATACAACTATATTCAATGTATGTGCATGTGACACTTTTTAAAAAGGTGGATCATGCTCCTGGGGCATCCTTCTCCAACCTGGTGACCTGCAGATGCTTTAGACTACAACTCCCATCAGTCCCATCTGGCTTTACCAATGGTTAAGGATGATGAATGCTACAGTCCCACAATATCTGAAGGACCCCATGTTGAGAAAGGCTGTCCTGGAGCGCAGTGGGGTGGGGCAAAGTAGACTACTGAAACACTGTTTGATTTGCTGGCCAGGACAGCTGTCAAATGCATTGTGATGGAGTTAGAGAAGTAGAGGTGGAAGTGGGAGGTGGGGAGATGTATCAAAACCTGTTGGTAGGAGCACAATTGTTACAAGCTGATCAACTTTATCTGGTCTATCAGGCGAACTGGCATGAATTCATCTGGTGTTATGGACATTTCGAAGGCCTTTTCATAAACAAACAGTTATTATCATTGTTCTTGTTGTTAATAATAATAATAATTATATCCCGCCCATCTGGCTGGATTTTCCCAGCAACTCTGGATGGCTTCCAACAAAAGATTAAAAATACAGTCCAACATCAGTCATTAAAAACTTCCCTAAACAGGGCTGCCTTCATATGTCTTCTAAAAATCAGATACAGTGGTGCCCCGCAAGACGAATGCCTCGCAAGACGAAAAACTCGCTAGACGAAAGAGTTTTCCGTTTTTTGAGTCGTTCCGCAAGACGAATTTCCCTATGGGCTTGCTTCGCAAGACAAAACGTCTTGCAAGTTCTTGCATGTTTGTTTCCTTTTTCTTAAAGCCGCTAAGCCGTTAATAGCCGCTAAGCCGCTAATAGCCGTGCTTTGCAAGACGAAAAAACCGCAAGATGAAGAGACTCGCGGAACGGATTAATTTCGTCTTGCGAGGTACCACTGTTGTTGTTTATTTCTTTGACATCTGATGAGAGGGCATTCCACAGGGAGGGCGCCACTACCGAGAAGGCCCTCTGCCTGCTTCCCTGTAACTTCGCTTCTTTCAGCCAGGGAACCACCAGAAGGCCCTCGACGCTGGACCTCAGTGTCCGGGCAGAACGATGGGGGTGGAGACGCTCCTTCAGGTATACTGGACCGAGGCCGTTTATTAATTAAATTTATGTACTACTCATCATCCAAAGATCTCAAGGTGGTTCACAACACAGTAGTACAGGATAAAAGCACAAAATAGATAGTTAAGCTAAAACAAAACGTACATAAGCATACCCTTGGAATTGTTATTGCTATAGGGGCATATATATGAAAAAGCATTATGTCAGAAATGGAGTCATCTGCATGAATTTTTCAGGAAGTGCTGGCCAGCAGGAGGAAACAGGGATAGGGTAGGTACCTTTTTACGGGCCAGGAACTCAGTAGCTGCAACACAGCTGCATAGTGTGCAGAGACACAGGTGATTGTAGGGATGGTGGCTGGAGTTCAGTAGACCTGGTGGGATTACTAAGAGGGCACATGAGCATGGCCAATGAGAGGACCTAGGGGTGTGGCAAAGTTCTGGTTCCCACCACCCTCTGCTGTTCCCTTGCAAAGATGCTATGGACACTTAAGCATCACTGTTTTACAAATAGTTAGCCTCTAACTAAACTGAAATAAATATCTTAGTTTGTTTCCCAAGGGGTCCTTGCTGTCACAAATGTTTCTCCACTGGGATAATGGTTGTGTTCTTTTTGACCTGTTCTTGTTCTCTCCCTGCCCTCCTGCTTTGCAAAGAAACAGCGGACACTTAAACATTGCAGTTATATTAGCACCTCCCGGTAAGTGTCTCTCTTGGGTCCGAAGGGGTCTCTGTTGCCATAATTTCTAGTGTGGATTCATACCACAATAACTGCACAGTATATTGTACATAAAGGAACCCTACAGGACTGTTAACAAGGTATCCCATATAGATTTTTAATTTATATTTATATATTTTTGAAAAATAAACAATAATTCAACAACAATTCAAATTTAGCAGTCAATCAGTCAGCCTAGGACTCGCCTTCAGCCACCAAAGGAAGCATTTTAAAGCAATATCAGGGAGGCAAACAATATCTTTAACTCATCAGTTTTAAGTAACTAGCAACCGTAAGTGCATATATAAATTCTGCTTCTGTTTGCTACAGAAACATATTTATGGGGTTACCAACTTCTGATAAAAATACACATTTGTAGTCTTCATACATTTATACGAAGGATTTTTATCCCATTCTTCAGCTGAAAAAGACTCCCAGAGTAGCTTAACGTGAACAGTAACAAGATAGTCCTTGCCCTCAGGCTTACAATCTAAAAGTCACAACACAAAAGGAAAGGGAATTTTATTTGGGGGGGGGGGGAATGGCCTTTGCAAAATATATTTTGTGAAATTGTTAGGGAAGCAATGTTTAATCAATTCACCAATTTGATTTATCAGTTAAAATTATTAATTCACTAAAATGGGAGCCCCTATTAATGACAGGTTTTTAAATACATGGTTTTTAATACCAATTCTTACAGGTACTGCAGGAGGCAAATGCCATTTTAAAAGAGATACTGATTGATTGATTGATTGATTGATTGATTGACTGACTGAAAGAGAACATGACCACATTATGTAACGCAAAGGAACATATAATTATTGCTTCAGAAGCATTGTTATTATCCATACGCAAGCTTACGAAACCAATGATTGATTTAAATCCATATGATTAAAGACATTTTAACCAATTAATCAGGTTACAACCCTATAAACTGAGTCACTGTGCTGTGGTCTAATATTGGTAGATGCAGGCTCAAATCTCTACTCAGCCATGAACCTTACTAGGTAATCTTTGGCCATTCTGCCTATCCTATCTCATATGGTTGTTGTGAGGATAAAAAAGAGAAGGGGTGGAACCATGATTTCTCCCTCAGCTCCTTGAAGGAAAGGTGGGATATAAAATGTAGTAAATAAAATGGGTGATGTCACAATACTTTGTGCGATGTTATAGTCTGATTGCATTCTCAATTTTCTGTCTCCCTTGGACACTCAACCTCCAAGCTGAGCACTTAGAAGATAAAATATTGCTCTCCTCTTCCCATTCAGCACAGAAGTGGCAGATTATCCTTACAACTGAGACGTGTATTTTCCTTGTTTGAAACAAAGGGATAGCACCATGTGGACCTTATTTTTCTTTACACTGGAATGAAAAACAATCTTAGGGAAAGAATGAAGAGATTCCTACAAAAGCAAACCTCATCTAGCCTAAGAAATATGTGGAGTAAATAAAGTTGGTGGAGAGATGAGATTTTGTAAGATTACTAATGCCCTTACTTATCCTTTGGCTCATGCCCGGTTCATGCCTACTGCTAGTAGCAGATGACTCATTCCTGTAGCAAGACCCTGCACTGCTGCGGTAAATATCTGAATACAGGTGCTACACAGATAGGGCCAGGAAATAATCAGAAGAAAAGAACATGTTTCACTCCCATAGTTCCTGCATCCAGCCTGTGGGATCTTGCCATGGAGAAGCACCACATATAATCACACGCTCCAGTCTGATCTCAGTTTCTGTGAATCAATCCCCACTTCTTTTGCCGATGTATATTTTACAAATGCACATTTTAGAGATAATTTAGCATGAATTAGATAACAGCTTTAAGCATCATTTTGCTAAGGCAATGTGAGGGTTTTTTTTTATTTTAAAAAAAACAACCAGTTATGCAAATGTCGGTGTGAGTTGACTAATGTATTTGCCAGACTCTCGAGGCTCGCAGCTGTCATTTTAAAGAAAGATGCTCCTTAGGTAAACTTTCCTAGTGCCAGGGGCAACATTAGCACCTGTCATTTGTGGGCATATGTGAGAGCCTACTATTGATGTCTGCCTTGGGACACCCTTTGAAGAATATCTGGTCCCCAAAGGGTTCTTGTAACCCACTCAGGGAGTCCATGGCACCATTCACATAAAAAAAACAAACTACCATAGATATACCAAAAGTTTAAAAAGTGGGGGGTTCACAGCTTGGCTTTTGAAAAACAGTACTTAGCTCATTGGGAACCCCCACTGTTAAAAGTCCCTAAGGTTTGGGGCGCTGTGGAACATTTAAGAAGTGGCTAGAGCCAGCTGCCCATTGCTGCTTAGTGCACTGCCACTGCAGCCAGAGAAGCCCACCAATGCCCAGTGGCAGGAAGAGGCCCAGAGGACACTTTGCCCAAGGCCCTCTCAAACCTGGAAGTGGCCCTGTCTGCTTGCAAGACTGGACAGCAGGTCTTTCTTTCTTTTTTTAAAAAAAATGATATTTATTACTTTTTTAACATTTCCAACACAAACAAAAAAAAAGGAAAAAAGACAAAAAAGAAAAAACAATGCAAATACAATACAAAAACGCTACATGAACTAAAAAAGCAAATAAAAACAAGCAAAAACATTTTAAAATCACCTCAAACATTTTCAATATCTTATATTTCATTCACTTATTTCCAGCGACCTCCTCCCACCTCCCTTTTTGTATTCCACTTCTATTATTTGTTTCAGCAATTCCTTTCCATCTTACTCTGTTTTCTGTTCTATAATTATCTTAACACATTCTTGCCATACTTTTCCTTTAATTTTCTATTAATCTATTTATACCTAATTCCTTATAACATTTCTAACATTCCTTAATTTTGCAATATCTCTATAAATAGTCTTTAAACTTTTTTCCAATCTTCTTCCACCGACTCTTCACCCTGGTCTCGGATCTTGCCTGTCATTTCCACCAATTCCATATAGTCCATCAATTTCATCTGCCATTGTCCAACGCTTCAATGTTTTCAAAAAGCAACCATTCTCTCAACCAGCAAAAAGCAGATGGTTCACAGCAAAATTTAAAGGTCTAGCAGGGCAGGTCCTCCTCCTTCTTTGGCATCCATCAATATCTTAAGTTTTACTCGAGGCTTCCTGCCCTGCCAAACAACTCTAGGAGCATCCCTCTGCCACCTCTTAAAACCCTCCATCCCATCCAAAGCTTGCAGTGTTTGAAATAAAAGCAACATCCCCAACAACACAGCAGCCCTCATCCCCACAATAACTCGGCCCAACAGTGACAACTTCTGATTTGTCCATATTTCCAAATCCCCCTTCTCTTCAATCCAACATCCTTCACAGTTATCCTTAAGCAGATTCACATTTTTGGCAGTCATATCAACCCCCAAATACCTCTCTTTCTCAACCAATTTAGTATCGCCTCCTGAAACTCTGTCAAGCTTTCCTTTTCCAATTCAGATAGGGCTCTGGTCCTCAAATTCATCCGTTCTTCTTTAAATTCAATCATAACGAATGTCACCTTATGTTCGTCAGGTTGTCTTTGTATGGATGGGACTCTCCTCTCCAGTTGTATTATTTTAGATTCAGCAGCAAGGGTTTTTCCCCTAACTTCATCTGCAGTTTGCCATATCGAAGTAGATTCCTGTGTCAGTTTCTGAGTGGTTTCTGAATTAGTATTCACCTTTTGTCCCAAGTTGTTTAAGCTTTCTACAGTTGAATCATTTTCAATACTTGCAACATCCAATTTCACATTTCTCGCATCTATTTTCTTGTGGAGTTGTTCCAGCAAATCGTTTATTTTCAATAATGCAGCCACTAAGGCCTCCTCTGTCGACATCCCGTCTGTTTTTTCCTTTCCGTTTGCCATAACACTTAAAAGATTCAAGGTCAATTCCAAAGTCTCACACTTTCTTATCTTGCAGCTGGAAAATCCCCTAGCCCAGCTCCTATCAAGTAAATTTCAAAAGCTTCCACTAGGGGAAAGCGAGTTGTATTTGTATCGGTCAGTATGTCCTCTTTTAAACACAGTTTCAGTAATCCAAAATTAGTTTCAATTTTCACTTACTTTCCTCCTTTTTTAATAAAGTTCAGTAAGATTGTTTCAATTTTTCGTTACTTTACTCCTTTTTAAGTGCAGACGAAGACAATGGAAATAATCTATCTCTCTTATGCTAGCTGTCACCGAACGTTCTATTCGCTGTCAATGAACCTTCCAAGGCACGTCGATTTTACTGGCAGCCCGTTTCCAGGTTTGGAACGGTGGTATTTTAACTTCCTCACTCACTCCTGCAGGAATATACAATCCAAAGCCTCCCCCCTCTTCTCCTGCTTCCAAGGGGGGTTTAATATTTTTTACTGATGAGAATTTAGTCCTTTACAATGGGCTTTCCAAGACTTTAGCTTGCAGCCTCTTTGCCTCAGTCTAATTTCAAAAAGGGGAGGTGGACTTCCTGTTTTGAACCTCCCCCGTTTCGGTGCCAAATTAAAACGTTTAAAAATCCAATTCTTCACTCTACTCACGGGTAGTTGCTTTAAGATCAAATTGTCCACAGGAAAAAGTCAGCGCTCTCTGGCAACAGCTATGCGGCTTCGCTTCGTGGAAAAAGCAGTCGATCCGAAGCACCGCGCCGCTCACCCCACATCGCTCCGGATCCCCGAAATCGGGTTTCCCCGCGAGTAGGGGAGGCGCAAAAGGTGCCCGCCGGATCCCACGTTCACAGGCTTCAACCACCTGTGATTTTTAGTGGGTCTCCACCTTCGCCGTGGCGGCCAGACCCGAATTTCCACGAGGCAAATTCCTCCCGATCAGAGGAATTCCGCCATTGCCGGTGGCGCCAACCCGGAAGTCCGACTGCAGGTCTTTCTCTCACTGCCCTGGATTAATTTAGTGCAGAAGTAGCCAATGCGGTGCCCCCCCCCCATGATGCTGGACTACAACTCCCACAAATGCTGGCTATTGGTCATGCTGGCTGAGGCTGATGGAAGCTGGAGTCCAAAACATCTGGAGGGGGCCACATTGGGTATCCCTGATGTAGTTACTGTTAGTATTTCACGCCTCCGATGCTGCAGATGAGTAAATCACATGCCTGTCTGGGAAAAGAATGTGAGAACGGTAGACAGTCTTATCTCTTCCGCTGTATATACTATTGTACCGTACTTTTGCTTTTACTTGTGTTTGCTTTCCCTCTCGGAGCTGGAGAGAGAGGACGCCATAATTCCTTTGTCTGTACAGTCGTACTTTGGGTTAAGAACTTAATTCGTTCTGGAGATCCGTTCTTAACCTGAAACTGTTCTTAACCTGAGGTACCACTTTAGCTAATGGGGCCTCCTGCTGCCACCGCGCAATTTCTGTTCTCATCCTGAAGCAAAGTTCTTAACCTGAGGTACTATTTCTGGGTTAGCGGAGTCTGTAACCTGAAGCATCTGTAACCTGAAGCTTCTGTAACCCGAGGTACCACTGTACTTAGTGTGTAAATAAATACGTAGATTAGCTGTATGATGTCTCACGCTTCTTGCTGTGTTATGCTAGAAGATTAGTGTGCATGTATCATTTGATATATGTCGCTGAAGCGCACTGGAGAAGAAGGGAAGTGCCTTTTCCAGAGCTGCGCATACCAGAGGACGCTCAGAGTATGGGGCTGCAGGGGCACCCCCAGGGTGTTTTCCAACAGTTACTTTGACAGTAGTGTATATTGAGGAGACAGGGGCGGAGGCCCTACTCTAGGGCAGTTTGTCCAAGTTGGGAGCAGGCGGAAGTGTCAGGCTTGGAAAGCAACGCTGTTCCTCCCCTCTTTATATCCGACTAGGAACTCTGGGCTGAAAAGGTTTTTCTGTGAGGACTGGGACCATTTTCAGATTCTGAGCAAGGCTGCACAGTAAAGGCTTATACAAAGTGATGCATTTCCCCCTCCCAAATCTATGTTAATCTGTGCCAGTTAATTATCCTGGAGTGCACTTTCAATCACTAACACCTATCAGTGTCACCACTCCTGTGGATGAAAGATAAATGAGAAGAAATGAATGATATATATTTAATAGATTCAAATGTTTGGTGCAAATTATCTGGCCTAGGGTGAGTTCTGGTGGCCTTCAGTCTGTAACTAAGCTTGGATGATGATGATGATGATGATCATGATCATGATCATGATCATAATTATTATTATGATTATTACTCTCATCTGTAACAGGGTTGGTCTGTAACCAGGATACACCAAACCATATTTTGATACTCCACATGTTTGCAAGTCTTAAACCATGAGGATTGGTGTGTTTTTTTCCATACACTGAAGCAGACCCCTCCTCATTAGACACCTTCACAAAGCTTTCATTATTTCCATCTACCTCACCCTGCTTTACCCTTAAAATCCTCTGCAGTACAAACATCATTCTGTTCCTGCATGCTGTCATTGCTAGACGTCTCTGTATTTTCTCCCTTGTATTGTATCAATTAAGTAGCAGCTACTTGGAGAGAATACTTTTACAGGAGCCACATGATAGTAGCAGAATGGACGAGTTCTCAGATCATCTCTGCCTCAGCGGACGACACTTACAATAGAGGCACAGGTGTGATTATAGTAGGACAGCATCCCATTCAACTTTAGCAGAGAGAGGGAGATAACTAGGTCTATTCCATCCATGTCAAAATCCCATTTTTAGAAAAATTAAAAATAGTTTACAGAGTTGCAATCGTGCATTAATGCATACGCTTTATTACTCATCGAAATTCTAGTACTCCTGGGACATCTATATGTAGATTGCCCTCCTCTGAAATGCATTTGGTCTTTTCCTTCAAGGAGTGGAGCTGGAATCACTCATTCTGCCTCTGTCCACTAAAATTATAACATTGGAATGGATCCACCTTCTGTGAATTATTTCAGACAGTGATTAATCTAACCTTCTTTCGTATCATTTGAGCTGTATTTCCAGGTGAGTTCAGGAGTGGGGGGTGGAGAGCAAGCAAGTTGGGACACAATGTTGTTGTTGTTTAGTCGTTTAATCGTGTCTGACTCTTCGTGACTCCATGGACCAGAGCATGCCAGGCACTTCTGTCTTCCACTGCCTCCCGCAGTTTGGTCAAACTCATGCTAGTAGCCTCAAGAACACTATCCAACCATCTCGTCCTCTGTCGTCCCCTTCTCCTTGTGCCTTCCATCTTTCCCAATATCAGGGTCTTTTCCAGGGAGTCTTCTCTTCTCATGAGGTGGCCAAAGTATTGGAGCCTCAGCTTCAGGATCTGTCCTTCCAGTGAGCACTCAGGGCTGATTTCCTTAAGAATGAAGAGGTTTGATCTTCTTGCAGTCCATGGGACTCTCAAGAGTCTCCTCCAGCACCATAATTCAAAAGCATCAATCCTTTGGCGATCAGCCTTCTTTTTGGTCCAGCTTTCACTTCCATACATCACTACTGGGAAAACCATACATTTTACTATACGCACCTTTGTTGGCAAGGTGATGTCTCTGCTTTTTAAGATGCTATTTAGGTTTGTCATTGCTTTTCTCCCAAGAAGCAGGCATCTTTTAATTTCGTGGCTGCTGTGTCGTGGGACACAATAGAGACATGTAAAATTAAGCATGATGTGGAGAAAATGAATTGGACAGTTTTTTCCTCCTCTCCTAATACTAGAACTCAGGGCCATCCTAAGAAGCAGAATGTTAAAAGATTTGTAACAAGTGGAAGGAAGGAACGATAATGTTCACACTGCTATGGGGTGTCATATAAATGTAGCAAATAAACAAATTACAAACTTGCAACCGCTTGCACTCATACTCTGTTAAGCTTAATAAGCCTTGGATTTGTTGAGGTGAATGAGAGGGAGAAATGGGCAAAACAGCTCTCTCACAAAATATAGAAGAGGTTTTGCATAGCAGCAGAAACCATTGCCTCACATAGGGACAGAATTTCTTCAAGGATAACTATTATTTTCTTTATTTTGATCCCTTAACATTTTTAAAACAAAAACAAAATCTAATATATAATTGGGGGGAAAGGGGGAAATTGCTCGGGGGCAGGAAGAAAACTGTGTGACATCCTGACACCAGGCAATGTTGTACAACCCTCAGTGCTGCAGTGTTTTATTGAGATTGCAGTGTTCTTGTGTCTAAAGTTATTTATACTGAGTGAGCTCCTAAATTATGAGCAATGACTAAGCAATGCCAGCCGTTTGGGGTGTTGTTGTTTTTAGCTCAGTTACAAGTTCCTCATGGATGTTATTTTATCATTCATTGAATCTGCGCTTTCCAGTCTTCTTTTTTTTAAAAAAACAATACTTTTTTGTTGACAACAATTATACGGAATTAAAAAAATAATAATCTTGATCAGCCCAAGCTGCTCCGTGGCACCATTTTCAAACCCCGCATTCACATTTAACAATTCTGTGTTGATTAAGTGTACACTAATGCCGCCCCAATTAAGCATCTTCCACTGTCATTAAACCAAAAAGTTTCCTGGGGAATTCTTTTAATATACTGTGTCCAAATGAATTAGCATGTAATGTAGTAATTCACTTTTATAGCACCTTTCATGTTTAATATCAGACAAAGAAAAGGGGCATTGAAATGAATTCCTTGGAAAATGAATTATTGAAACTGAAATAATGAGTGAAAATTGAATGGAGCTTTGCAGCTGTTCGCAATGGGGAGGACTTGGGGGGGGGAGAAGTAGCTCCCCAGGTCTGAAATCTACTGGGTTTTCCTAATCATAATGAGTCAGCAGGTGTTGGCAAATGCTAGCAATAGGAGTTTTACTATTTTGCCATAATAGGCTGTGTCATACAGCTGCAAACACTTTCAGACAGAAGGGCAGCAATTACTGGTACACCTAGTATTGCTAAATAACTATTTTTCACCCAGACAGTTTGGGAATTCAAGCTCTGTGTCCAGTCTTGTTCCAGCTGCTCAAAATCCGGGAATGGGTTGAGAACAGAGAAAATAGGGTTAGGGCAGTGTTTTTCCTTCTCCACCCAGACCTTGTTGTGGGTTGACCTTAGGGATAAGGGAGAAATTCAGTTGTGTTTGCATTTTGATGGGAAACTACCCAATTTGAACTTCTCGATTCAATACACAAATGAAAACCCAGTTTTCCTTCAGAATTCACACATAACATAATTTTATGCATTGGGGAAAATGTGTATTAGAACATACATTTGCGAAAATAATATGCAAAAATTAAGGGAAATTGTTTTCAACAATGTGTATATTATGGTGACCTCTGCCCCTTCACTGGTTTTTGTCCCAAACATCCTTTTTTTAAAAGAAAAAAAGGAAGTGGCAGATAGGCCTGCCTCTGGACTCCTGGCAAAGAGCAGGGGACAGGTTTACTTCATAGCCAGTGAAAGTGGAAGCGGATAAGACTTATACCAAGTCATTAACATTTTTAACTCTATTAATATAACAAAATTTATCTCATTTTTTTAAAAAAGGTCTTTCACCAAACCACATCTCTTATTTGCTTAAATTAGCAGTTCTAAGCTATGGGAGTGTCAGTTTGGCTGGATGGGCTTTTAAAAAATTTGTGAAACATAGCAAATGCCAAAAAAACAACAGCAAGTGTTTTAAATTTTAGGCTCCCTTTGAGCTTGAAGCCCAGGGCCAAATGGTCCTTGAACCAATGGCTTCAAGTTACGAAAGGAGATTCCGACTAAGCATCAGGAAAAACTTTCTGAAGTAAGAGCTGTTCAACAGTGGAATGGTCTCCCTCAGGAGGTTGTGGACTCTCCTTCCTTGGAGGTTTCTAAACAGAGGTTGGGTGGTAATCTGTCATGGATGTTCTATCTGATATTCCTGCATTGCTGGGGGGTTGAACTATATGGGCCTTGGGGTCCCTTCCAACTCTACAATTGTATGATTCTATGAACCCTCTCAAGCCCCATTTCCTCTAAAGGCTAATAGGTGGGATGTCTGTAGTTTGTAGATTGTCAGTGGAAAGGAGATGTTCTGTAATGGGAATGCTACCTTTACAAACTACTCTACCACACAGGCTCTAAGATCAACACACAAGGATCAGACTTCTGCCAGCTAATCACTCTTCATCCCCATCTATGCAGTATTGCATTCTGAGAATCAGTATGCACATTTATTTTATACATACATTTATATTTGTCTGTGTGCGTGTATATATATAAAATAAGAAAATTCCATCCCACCATTCTGTTGCTTCTTTACCACTCAGGGCAGCTAACAATTAAAATCAACAGTAAAATACAATAATGTTCTAAAAATACAGTATAAAAAAACAGAGGCTATGTAATATAATCAAAGCAGAAACAGGTGCAGCAAATAAAACAAAGGCTTCAGATGAAATTCTGGCTTTGCTATCAATTTGAGGGAACTTTTACTAAAAGCAGTACAATAGAATAGCACACATCTAAAATGGCTCAAAATACAGCAGCAGTTAAGCAGTTTACAATCGTCCCACTGTGTTCTGTTGGACTTACTCCCAGGTAAATGTGCATAGGATGCCCCGGAGCAATCCCAGGGCAATGTTACTTGCTAACTTATTGTTTACTTAGTAGTTCAATTTGTTAACCACCCTTCATTAGTAAGGATCCAAGGGTGGTATACAAAAGTATAGGTTGTTGGAATCTGTGTCTTGAGAGACAACAGAGTGCACTTCTGAGGTTGAAGTCAAACCACTGCGTTAGCAACACCGAAGTGACCTCCTAGGGCGCAAGCCTGGGCAGTGTGTATGGCGGTCTTGGGCTGCCCAGATGACAAGACCCCCATCTCGGCCTCACTGATGTGGTCCAAGGGAAAGCACAGCAATATGTTTGGCACCAGTTTGACTGCAAGAGTTGCCAGAAGCAAACTCTGCTCCAGATTTGAGTAGGGCAGGTCTGTCCAACTGGTTGATCATGATCTACTGGTTGATCTCGGGATTTCCCTGGTCTATCCTGGTCAATCGTGGGATCCTGATGCCCTGGAAAATAGCTCAACAACTTTGGCTTCTCCTCCCCCCAAAAAGCTCAACAAGTTTTTTCCAGTCTCTTGGAAGTTGGACGTGCCTGGTGTAGGGTTTACTCCTGAGTCTTTTCTTCTCCTGAAGATATCCCACAAGGCAGTGGAGGTTTAGCATCAGATTTTTCCTTCTCCTAGATGGGCTACCTTCCCAGGTTGATGAGTCCCATCTGCCCCTCATTTCTCTCATCTCTTGAGCATTGGGCCCACTATTGGTCTCATTTGCTCAATCCACCAGAGCCTATCTTCACATGCAAGGGCAAGTCTGTAATTCACTGAGGGTTTGACACCCATTGGCTAACCTCACCTGCTTTAGCTGGCCAGTCAAAGCTGTTCTCGGGATGTGGCTGCTGTCGCATGCTGACAGCTTCTGGGAGCCACAGGTGTATAGTATATATAGGTAAAATGACTGTTGCAATAAAACCATTAAAACCGTTAATACTTCAAACGCCACTTTAATACTTGGAAATAGGTAACATAATGTTAAACAGATCTTACTTCCCAATAATGTTAAACAGATCTTACTTCCCAGTAATTGTTGTTAGGATTGCAGCTGAAGATGGCAATTATGTGCACACATAGAAAATGTCAAATTAAGCTTAGTGGAACATAATCGTGAATAAATGTTCATAAGATTGTGTTGTAAATGTATTATCATGCAGTAGAATTCATTTAAACATGAATTTAAATCATATTAAGAGAACACAGCCACTGTAAGCTAGCTCTCTCTTTTCTTTTGGAAATTTAAAAATCAGTTTCTTATCTCCGCAAGTAGCCCATTTCAAAGTCTGAAAGAAAAAGTGTAGCAAAATTCAGAAATGTTGCCATCTTAATGGGACTCGGGGATTCAGCATCATAAAAACAATGGAGAAAAATGGGATAGAAAACAAAGACACATGTGGAATGTCCCACACACTGAAGATTTTAAAATATGCTGAAATGAGAATGGCAGCACAAAATTGGGGGGGGGGGTGTCAGATACTTCATAATAAACACAATGTATACTTCATAGACTTACAATTTATATCAATAAACACATTTAGGCAAACACAGCTTTAAATGAGATCAAAGAGTGTCAAAGATCTTTAAATAAATACTTTAAAAATGCCATACTTCCATAAAGTTAATTTTCACAATAGACCATTTACCAAAGTCCACTTTTGCATTAGCGGAACTTCCTTAACATTTGAAAACGGCTGCTGTTAAGAATCTTTGCACAGACTGGCTGCAGGAATGACAGACACCTTATACAAAGCAGCTGAGAGCTTTCTCAATGCATTCAAACTATCAAAGCAATTTAGCAACACAAGGCAGGTTCAAGATCAATATGATGGCCCATGACCTTAGTACATATATTGTCAACTTTATTCCAAAACAATGAATTACATCATGTTCCCAGTATAAGAAATAGTATGTTCCAACTTGCCTGTCATCCCTCCAACTTCTGGGGTTAGAGATTTGTTATACCCTATCTAGCACAGTACACAGGACTGGCCTCAGACATTTTGCTGCTTGAGGCAAACGACAAGGTACCTTTCTCATCATCCCCAACCCCCATCATGCTTCCTTACATGTACAGAAACTGACAGCTGAATCTTAGTTCAAAATTGGTGATTTTGCAGCATCCTCAATTCCAACTGAGGGCTTCAGGCTAGTTTATGAGACACAGAGCAGGCTGCATGGCACACACAACAACCCAGGACTTCCTATACCCCATCATCTGCCTGAGGCAGCTGCGTCATCTGCCTAATGGTAGGACCAGCCCTAGTAATGCAACAATACCTGCAATTAAAAGGCAGAATATCATCTCGTTATTCCTTCTCCAAATGCCTGTTCTGATAATTTCCCCAATCTTTAGCTAGCCAAAAAAGAAGGAAGTGCATCTGTCGGCAACAAGATGAGTATTTAGGGGATGTTCAGAACACCCTTCAAATGTGGATCAGTACACTTATTACAGTGGCCGTACATCCTATGTTACAGAAAACAGTCCTCTGTTTGAAGGCTGTCAGAGGACCATCTTCTATTTGAAGTCCCATTAAATGATTAAAGAAAACCTAAGAAGGAAGCACAGGGACCTTGAAGTTACTTGTCAACATTTGGCCTTGGATAGCAGAAGGCATACAGGTCACCTAGTCACAGCCTTCTCCACTATAGTGAAAAGTATTTTACTTCTAATTATGGTAATTATTTCTAAATTTGCATGTAGATTAGCATATGCAAATTTGTGTGTGAAGTGCAAGTATCAAAATGCATTCCCAACCAATCAATATGCACATTGCTCTTTCTGAGGATGTAAAATTATGTAAAGCAGTCACTTGCAACAAATTTAGGGTGGTAGCCCAGCAGAGTCATTGGAGACCAATCAGAGGCAATATATTTGTACCCAGTGAGTAGTATGTTTCTAATCCAAATATTAGAATTGGCCGTCTCTAATAACTTATTTTAAAAATTCCTTACATCACTATCTAACACATAGCTCCCAGTAATGTGTTCTGTTTAACAGGGATGGAAATGTTTGCATACACACACACACATACATGCGTATACACATATAGTGATCAGTATACTTGTTATAAAGGTAAAGGTAAAGGTACCCCTGCCCATACGGGCCAGTCTTGACAGACTCTAGGGTTGTGCGCTCATCTCACTCTAGAGGCCGGGAGCCAGCGCTGTCCGCAGACACTTCCGGGTCACGTGGCCAGCATGACGAAGCTGCTCTGGCGAACCTGCACCAGAGCAGCACACGGAAATGCCATTTACCTTCCCGCTATAAAGCGGTACCTATTTATCTACTTGCACTTAAGGGTGCTTTCGAACTGCTAGGTGGGCAGGAGCTGGGACCAAACGACGGGAGCTCACCCCGCCGCGGGGATTTGAACCGACAACCATGCGATCGGCAAGTCCTAGGCGCTGAGGTTTTACCCACAGTGCCACCCGCGTCCCTTGTATACTTGTTATACATTTGATATATTACATCCCTTTTACTTATAGTAGACAAACAACTTGCAATTTGAAACATGGTATCTTATCAGGGTTTTGATGAGAATATTATTATTATTATTTGAATTTATATACTGCCCTATTCCTGGAGATCTCAGGGCAGTTCACAGAATAAAATCAAAATATAAAAACCACAAAATATATAATCAAAATAAAAACAACCCAATAACACCCTCCCCCCCCCCCGGAAAAAAAACACATTTTAAGAGGGCATTGGATGTCAATCAAATCAACCAAAGGCCTGATTAAAAACAAATGTTTTTGCCTGGCGCCTAAAGGTGTGTAATGAAGGCGCCAAGTGAACTTCCTTGGGAAGAGCATTCCACAGATTGAGAGCCACTGCAGAAAAGGCCCGTCCTCGTGTTGCTACCCTCAGGACTACTCGAGGAGGAGGCACACAAAGAAGGGCCTCAGCAGATGATCTCAGGGCCCAGGTAGGTTCATATCTGAGTGTGTGAACAAAAGAGAGCAGCCAAATGAGGCATGCAGTGTTTCTTTATGCCAGCCCCTGATTGAGTTATGGGAAATGGTTTTGGGGGATGAGAATAATACTTCAGTGCATGTTTTCCATTTTCAGCAGGTCCTTATGAATGCTGCAGTTATTAAAACCTGCTGGCTTGGTTAGATAAGAGGAGACAGACCGTTGATGAAGCTGCTGTTGCTGCTGTTCTGCTTGCTGTAATGCAGAGATTATCAGCTGATAAATAATGTGTGTTGATTTTTCTCTCCCTTGTAGTTGCACTCTGCTGTGACCAGGATCCAAGTACAAAGACCTGGTTTCAATTATACATTTGCCCATATCTGCATCCTAAATAATGACAAGTCTTGCATCGTGGATGACATTGTGCACGTCCTGAAGGAACTGAAGGCGGCTCGCTCGTCTAATCAAACTAATTTTGCTATCACGTATCCGATCACACACTTAAAGGATGGCAGGGAAGTGTACAATGGGCACCAACTTGGGGGCATCACTGTGCACAGCAAGGACCGGGTGAAGTCTGCCGAAGCTGTACAGCTCACCTACTATTTGCAGGCAATCAACTCCCTGAATGACATGGTGGCGGAGAAATGGGAATCCAACTTTTGCGACACGGTCAAACTGTTCCAGAAATCCAACCAGAACGTCACGATGTATCCCCTAACTTCATCATCGCTTCAAGAAGACTTCCAAGAGACAAGTAGGGTGTCGGAACGCTACCTGATGACAAGCCTGGTCCTCGTCGTAACCTTGGCTATGCTCTGCTGTTCCATGCAAGACTGTGTCCGCAGCAAGCCCTGGCTTGGCCTCCTTGGGTTGTTAACTGTGAGTTTGGCCACTCTCACTGCAGCTGGAATCATTAACCTGACTGGTGGGAAATACAATTCTACCTTCCTGGGGATTCCCTTCATTGTGTTAGGTAACTCTCTCATATCCTATTATTGCTGTGGGTATGCCTGAACGTATTAGTTTGTCCGAAGTATTGCTCAGTTTGAAGTAAAGGAGAGAGGGCAATGTGAAGGCCTAGCCCAGCTGGCTGAGGCTGATGGGAGTTGTAGCTCAAAGCAGCACCAGGTTAGTGAAGGCTGGCTTAAGCCATTTGGATGGACCACAGTTTATCTAATCAGTAATAATTCAGATTTGTGGCAGTTGACTTATGCTTGCTTTGAAGCCAATTAACTCCTAAGTGTGGCTCTTACTCAGCCATTTCTACTTAATATCCTACTGCATTCTGAACATCAGTCCATGTGATACACTTGTAATACTTAAAATCTTTTTCTTTTATACTTTACATGGAATGGAGCCTAAGCTCTTTCGTAACACAGTTTTTGTCTGCTGCTGTGGAAAACACATGCATCATCACAGGGGGTTATGCAAGATAAAGAAAAATCAAATGCATACTTCTCTGTAGAAAATCTGGTTGGCTTTGGTACTTAGCTTTATAATAAAAACTTGCACAGCTCCTCTTACTGAAATAAAATATCAGTTGCCTTGGTGAATAAGAGCAGCAATGTGGACCCCCCCACCTGTATTTACATAGCATATACATTATACTATTATTATAGTTTTTACTAAGTATACATTGATTATTACCACTAGCTTTTATTTTTATCAGGATGTGCCTAGGGAACAATGATAATCATGGTTTGATTTTCAGTTTGAGATCATGGATTTATCTTGCACATCACATAACTGAAGGATGCTCTGCTGAACTAGAGGTGTTTGCTTTCAAGCAAAGAAAAGATGAAACTGCTTGCATTCCTTATGCTTCAGGCTTTGCAAACTAATTCAGCTCTGATCCTGGAACTGATAGTTTTATGCCTCCTTGGAGATTTTGCTGCGGTGGCAGGAATTGCCATTCTTTTCTGATTTGGACAATGGAGAGCACTTTGACATACTGGGAATCTGTTAGGCATGGTTCAAAGGTATATTCCTCTTGTGTCAGATACGTTCTGCAAGCACATCTGGTGGATGATGAATGGCATTAGCCAGTGGTAGCCAATGTCATGCCTTCCAGAGGTAGTTGGACTTTAGTTTCCAGCATCCCCAGCCAGCATAGCCAATGGCCAGCGATGACTGGAGTTGTAGTCAAAACAAAATCTGGAGATATCACATTGGCTGCCCTGCTATAAGCAATAACTTGTGTAGCTGATTTCTATAGCAATGTGTAGTACAAGTTTCTGTCTGAAGCACACATTTCATGCATAAGGGAAGCGTTAGAAAAATTATTTAGATAATTTACATACCACTTAACATTTAACCATCTCTAAGACATTGTAAAAGGTAAAGGTACCCCTGACCATTAGGTCCAGTTGCGGACGACTCTGGGGTTGCACGCTCATTTCGCTCTATAGGCCGAGGGAGCCGGAGTTTGTCCACAGACAGCTTCTGGGTCATGTGGCCAGCATGACTAAGCCGCTTCTGGCAAACCAGAGCAGTGCACGGACATGCCGTTTACCTTCCCGCCGGAGCGGTACCTATTTATCTACTTGCACTTGACGTGCTAGGTGGGCAGGAGCTGGGACCAAACAACGGGAGCTCACCCCTGTTGCGGGGATTCGAACTGCTGACCTTCTGAATGGCAAGCCCAAGCTCTGTGGTTTAGACCACAGCGCCACCTGCGTCCCTTAAGCCACTGTAGGATACTACAAATAAAAAACAGAAAATTACTAAGACCATTATTTTAAAAATCTGTCAGTTAAAAACAACGCAATCAGCAGCTAAACAGGATAACCCTCTTAATTATCAGGAACAAAGTCAGAGTAAAATATCCTCATTAATGAAAAGATTCTGTAGGCTTGGTTTTCTCAGGATCACTAGGAACAAAAGTTCACTAACCAGCATTAATCTAAAGCAGGCACGCCCAAACTCAGCCCTCCAGATGTTTTGGGACTACAACTCCCATTATCCCTAGCTAACCTGACCAGTGGTCAGGGATGATGGCAATTGTAGTCCCAAAACATCTGGAGGACCGAGTTTGGGGATGCCTGATCTAATTCTGCCATCCACCATGAGAGTGCTGGAACTCTTTTATTGGTGTAGGCTCAGTGTTTGACAGCAAACAATTTAAATATATATGTTTACAAATTAACACATGCAAATTACATCTCCACTCCTCATTCCACCCTACTAGGAAGGTCGACAATGGCTATTCCTTTCAGGAGACCAAAAGAAGCAACTAAGAAGTGTTTTGAAAGACAGAGTCTGTAAAAAGATGCTTTAGGTAGAGGATTTCCTGGCTCAAGGCAGAGAGGAGAGTTGGATTAGATGACTTGCTGAAGTTCATATTTTTAAAAGAACCAAAGACCACTGCAGACCATAGATACTTCCTTGTTGACAACCAGGGCCATCTTTAGCATATGCACTACCGGGATGCAAAGATCCGCCCAGCGCCCCCAAATTTAGTTTAGCCGTTGGGGGGCGCAAACTCAAAGTTGTTGAGTTTTTATTGGGAGGGGAAATTGCCCACCTGTAACAACTACGCAGCGGGAAAAAACTGCTTTTGTTTCCTGACTCGGAGGAGTAACAGAGTGATGGAGCGGGGGCGGGGACTTCCACTCCATTGCTTTTCACTGCCACTGATCGAGAGGGACCGGTATGTAGTAGGTATACATTTGGCGCCCCCCAGAATTTGGCGCCCGGGTGCACCGCACCCCTTGCACTCCCAGGTAAAGACGGCCCTATTGACAACATTACTTACTCATGGAATGCCCAACACACTGATTTGATAGAGGCTTGCCAGATGAAATTTAATTTATAATGCTTATTTGTGTTTTAGTATAAGTGATCTCATATTGCTTCATCACATCTTGTAGTTGTGTTATACACCTTTCAGGTGTGTTTCCTGGTTTGTTTGTTTTAATATATTCAGACTGAATATTAAGCGTGCACATACTATGCTTGATCCCCTCTTACATTTTTAACTGAAACGGTATTACAGCTCCATCCTTCACAGCAGTCATATGTGGACACAAGATGCTTAGTGAACAACAAGAAAGTCCAAATTGGAGGCAACAATTGCTTTATTCCATTTTCAGATTGTATTCAAAATGAAAGATAAATATCATACAGTCTGAAGGCAGCAATCATAGTCGGAAGACTAATCATGATTTCCTTCACTTCCATAAATTGGACTCTATGTGGTGTGACAATACCTTGATCAAAACAAAGTGGATTGTGCAAAACATATATCCTACCCCGCTCCCAATAATCCACATTAGGGAAAATAGAAATATTCACTGCAGGAATGAAACCAACTCCATCCATAGAATATGCAGCATAAAGTAATTTTTGTAATGGCATCTGGATTGAGAGATCAAGACACCAGTCGCCCGAGGACAAATTTTCATATTCTTAACTGACAGGCAGTGAATATACTGGGATCCTCACTTTTTTAATGGGTTGAAATGAACTATGGCAAGTCTTGCCATTTTCAGCTTTTCATTGTTCGACAGCAGATACAACCACATTTGTGTTCCCTCCAGGAATGCATTTCAAGCAAGCAATTTAACTCTAAATAATTGTCAGAGCAAAATTGCCCAGTTCATTTGAATCCTTCCACTGCTTTGCATGGCTTAATAAAAACTGACAAAAGCTAGACAGCAGAGTGAAGGACCAATGCAGAGCAGGGTCTAAAGAATCTTTAATGAGAATTAGTTCAGCCAGGGAGACTGCTTTATCTTGGGCAAAATATAATGTTCAGTACTAGTATCAAGAAATTACATATTTACTAGGACAAAAAAATCAGGGTGTTTTATTTTAAATCAATACGAAAAACACAACCCTCCTCACCCTTCATACCCTTATGTCAAACAGCCCTTGTGTGGTTTTTTCCTTAGTTTTCTACTTGCCTTCCTACACTTTCAGTTCCCTAGCTCTGGTTTCCTAATTCCTGCCTTCTAATTCACTCTAGTCACACACACACACACACACACACACACACACACACTTTTATTTGCATATAACATACAACAATAAACCAACAATGCAAACACTCATCTCAAGTCTGAAACATTAAAATGAGTGGCATGGGTTCTACAGTCCAGTCAGGAAGACCACCTGCAATCAAAGGGTTAAAAAAGAAGTAGGACAACAGCAGTGATGGGGGGCAGGGGGAGAAGAGCTGAGCAACCAGTGCAGCTGGGGAAGAAGGGAATGTGGGGTGGCCAAGGCAGTGGGGAGCAAAGGAGGAACTTGCAGGCAGCATCCCATTATTAGCCTGTTTTATAAACCAGGGTTTTCCAACTTCCAAGAGACTGCGATCTACAACCACTTTGGGAAGTCATAGTTGTTGAGTTTTTATGGGGGGGGGAAGCCAAAGTTGGGGAGCTTTTGGGGGAGGGGGGAGGATCCTGCAATCAACCAGGATCCACCAGGGGCATTGACCAGTAGACCTGTGACCTGTTGGACAGCCCTGTTATAAACCAATATAACTCAGTGGTAGCCATTTCCCTCCATTTGCTGTTTCTGTGAAGCTGAGAAGTGACACAGGCAATTATTACATAAAGGCAAAGGTACACCTGACCGTTAAGTCCAGTCACGGACGACTCTGGGGTTGCGGCGCTCATCTCGCTTTACTGGCCGAGGGAGCCGGAGTTTGTCCACAGACAGCTTCCGGGTCATGTGGCCAGCTTGACTAAGGCGCTTCTGGCGAACCAGAGCAGTGCATGGAAACGCCATTTACCTTCCTGCCAGAGCGGTACCTATTTATCTACTTGCACTTTGACGTGCTTTCGAACTGCTAGGTTGGCAGTAGCTGGGACCAAACAACAGGAGCTCACCCCGTCGTGAGGATTCAAACTGCCGACCTTCTGATCGGCAAGCCCTAGGCTCTGTGGTTTAGACCACAGCGCCACCCACGTCCCAGGCAATTATTACATGGTGCTATTTGAGATCCTAGGAAGTAGATATAATAAGACCATGGTGGGGAGGTGGGTATTCTAGCTGCTTGATCACTTCTGAAATGGATACAGGAGACACCTGGGTGTTTTTTCATAGATATATATTAGTTCTTTACCCCTTCTCTCCTCTCGTTGGCATGCAACCTGAAGTGCCAAGTGTGCTCAAACAGTCTGAGCACTGCATTCAGAGGTGCTGTTTACGCCTCCACTGCCCGTGTGGGCCCAAGTACTTCCTGCTAAATTCATAGGATCAATGAAACATAGAGTTGGAAAGGACCACGAGGATCATCTAGTCCAACCTCCTGCAATGCAGGAATCGTTTGCCCAATGTGGGGCTCAAACCCACGGCTCTGAGATTATGAGTCTCAGACTCTACCATATCAATGTATGCCCACTTCAAGAGCATCACAAATGTAAATCATTGTGAATGCACAATGCAAAGGTCACCTGATGGGCAACTTGAACTACAGGCTTGTGAGAATATTTGGCATGGCAACTGAGCATACTATAACATAAGTGCTCTTCCCATTCACTTTTATCAATCACAGTAGATTTTCATTAAAACCAATGGTTGTTATCCCATTCCTTGGCTTTATGGTTTTCCACAGTCAAAGGCACAGTCAGCCTTCACATAAACTTATATTTAGCCACTTATTTGGAAGTGTGGTACAAATTAAACTGGATCATTTAAAATATTTTGCCACAAATGTTTTGAATTTTCAAGTTTGAAGTTTGAGATTGTCTTCCGCACCCCAGTCTGTGAGCTATATCTAATTTCCTTTCATATTTTTTTAAAAGATATGTTTCTCTTAACCACTCCCCTGTCAATTATTTCCTTTCTTTATTCTTTCATATTTGTTTCCCTGGCCATTTTTCAAAATCTATGCTTTACTTTGCATGTTCTTTCCTCAAATGCCTCCTCATCCTCAAAGGCCTCCTTTCCTAAAGATATGGCTCCCTCAACCCCACTTTTTCCTTCTGTACCCTTCTCATATTTATTTATTAAACATTATAAATCAATATTCCTCCAAAAATGGATTTCAGTGTGGTATACTATGAAACTGTAGAAGCATTGCAAGACAGACTGGCAATAAAATCAAGTTTAAGAGGAATAAAGTCAATTGAATGGTGGAAAATCTAATAATCTAAAATGCCTAGGCAAATAAAAATGTTTTAAACTGGCACCAACAAGAATACAGGCCACATCCGCAGCACACCTTTCAAACACTTTTATTCTACTTGAGGAGTCATGGCTCTCTTCACTCTATCTTCTGCCATATTGCCCCTTTTTGAGCATCAATACAGCATTCATTATCTGCTTCTTTAGCTTCTCTTATCTTACGCATGCCATTCATTCTTTTTTCTTTTCTTTTCTTTTCTTTTGTAAATATAGCAGGGTGGGAAAGAAAGAAAAAACCATCAGCTGACATTAACAAAATAAAATTATTCTATGGATCCTGACTTAAATGTGTTAAGTGAATAGAATTCCCATCTATTGCTAAGGTTATTTTCTACCTTCCCAGCCTCTTTACCAGAGTCCATTTGCTCATGAGGTGTAGCCTAGCCTCTTTCCCCATCCTGCCTTTTCTGCCTCCTGAGCTTGCCCTGTCATTGTTCACAATCAGTGCTCTTCTCCTGTCAGCTTTCTTGTTAATGTCACAGACCACTCCTGGGGAGATAAGCATGCTTACCTTTTAACCTGACAAGGCCCAAAGTGAGTGGCATAAAATTATTCAGAGAGAGATGGAAAATGCTGCACGATTCCTTCCCTCGCTTCAAGTTGCTCTGCCCTCCAGACTATTGTTTGCAGTGGGGGGTGTGGCAGGGATCACCACTGTACCTTAAAACATCTGGAACCACCACCTGTTTCTTTCTTATGTTCAAAGTTTGAAAACTCCCATGCTTTCTCAATGGGCAAGGTTCTCCTCTAGCTCCTTTCGGTTATTCTGAAACCGAAACATTGATTTGAGCGCACCAGAATCAATTGCATTTGGCAGTTAAGGTGCCCACTTTAACCTCCATGTCACCTAAGCAGGTATGTGACACAGTGTTGTATATCACAGTATAGCTTTCATGCAGCCATGGTCTCTCAGCCTCAATCGTTTTCCTCTGCATCATCATCATCCCTCCCTCCATTTCATGCAGGGGACGCGGGTGGCGCTGTGGTCTAAACCACTGAGCCTATTGGGCTTGCCGATCAGAAGGTTGGCGGTTTGAATCCACCCAAAGGGGTGAGCTCCCATTGCTCTGTCCCAGCTCCTGCCAACCTAGCAGTTCAAAAGCATACCAGTGCAAGTAGATAAATAGGTACCGCTGTGGTGGGAAGGTAAACAGTGTCTCTGTGCACTCTGGCTTCCGTCACGGTGTTCTGTTGTGCCAGAAGCGGTTTAGTCATGCTGGCTGCATGACTCGGAAAGCTATCTGTGGACAAATGCCTGCTCCCTCAGCCTGAAGCGAGATGAGCACCACAACCCCATAGTCACCTTTGACTGGACTTAACCATCCAGAGGTCCTTTACCTTTACATTTACCATTTCATGCACACAAACTGGCAGCCTCCCTCACATAAGCACATGTACATGCAGGACCTCTTCTAATACACATGTGGTACATTGGTCAGAGTGTTGGACTAGGGCCTGGAAGATCAGAGTTCAAATCCCCACTCAGCCATGAAGCTCACTGGCTGACCTTGGGCCAGTCACAGTCTCTTTGCCTAATGTACTTCACAGGGTTCTTTGGGAGATCGAATGAGTGGAGCAGTGGTTTTCAACCAGTGTGCCTTGGCACCTAGGGTGCCTGGAATGATGATCAGGGATGCCATGGGCAACATTTGCATCTGTCCCTCTTTCCTTCCCACCCTCCTCTGATGTCCTCTCGTGTCTCTGCCTCCAAATGGCTGGTACAGCTCTTTACTGCAGCAGCCCTGGCTGTAAGCTCTGCAGGTGAATGGTGCCTCTTTGGGGTGGGGGTGGGCAGCTCAGACACCAGCAGCAGCTGCCCAGAGGACTCCCAAGGAGAAGGGAGAGAAGAGAGGAGGCTGAGGGAACACTCCACAAGGGAGTGTGTTTGAAAAAGGGTGAGAGGCTGCCAGCTCCACAGACAAGGGGTGACATAACTGGGCTCCTGAGCCCCGCAGGGTTGCCACAGAAAGAATGTAGCTGGTCAAGGGAACCATGGACTACTGGAGTAGGGGGAGACTCATGTGTGCCATCTTGAGGTCCTTAGAGAAAAGGGTGGGATATAAATGCAATAATAACAACCGAGACAGATTCTTCTTTCTCTCCCTGTCTCGTACCCATGCACACATCTGCTCACTACAAACGTTAAGGCCTGAAAAGAAAGGGGAGTAAGAACGCCTTTCCCCCTCCTCCAGTTGCTTCAGAATAAGTAGGATTTTTATAGATCTGCTCCTCTCACACACCCACAGAGGCAATAGTTCTCTCCTTTTTTAAAAAAATAATAATATTTATTAGTAGTTTTCAGAATTATAAGAAGAAAAAACATTAAAAAACAACACTATAATAGACAAAAAAAAAGAAAAAACACAAAAACCAATACAACAATACAACAAAAAAATAAAAAGAAAAAAGAAAACAACACAAATCCCAGATTACATATCTAAAACTTCCATTTGCTTGTTTCATTGACTTCCTCACACCTCCCTTTTTGTATTCTAGTTTAATTAGTTATTTCAGCAAATTCTTTCCATCTTTCTCAATTTTTGTTAAAAAATTTATCCTAACCTAATTTAATCTAATAATTAACTCAACCAATCCTTTCCATCTTTCCCCATATTCTATTATTCACATTACCTTAATTAATTTAACCTTATCTTACCCTAAAACACCTTAAAGCTTGAATCCTAGTTATCAAATATACATTACTCCTGATATCATTTCTGCTAAAGTCATATAGTTTCATTCCAACATTTTCCCTAATATTCATTAATTTTTAGCCAATTCCCCAAATAGAAAATTTTCTTTATAAATTTTCTTCCAATCTTCATCCAACGTCCCTTCTTCCTGGTCTCGGATCGTGTCAGTTCTTACTGTCCGTTTCATCTAGTCCATCAACCTGGAAGCCTTATGTCCGAGGCCCTCTCTTCCATGTCCCTTCTGCAATTCTTCTTCTTCTTGTTTATACTTGCCCTTTTCCTTGTCTTTTGTTGGTCTCTTTCTTAGTTTCTTTCCTTTCTCATTGAGGGGTAGGCCTCTGGGGTATGCCAAGCCAAAATTGTCTCCATCTCCCTTCATCAAACCCGCCCATTCCCCACAGTCCCACTCCCCACAATCCTCAATATAGTCCAAAAAGTATTTAAAAGCATATTCCAAGGTCTCTCCAACGTTGGGAACCTCATCAACTCCAGACGCCCCCTGGCCCACTCCAACTTCAATCTTCAATGACAGCAGCTCATACTCCTGTAGGGCCTCGGGACTCTCCATTTGTATTATTTGGGGTGCAACCGCATCCTCCTCCATTATCCTCTGCACTTGCCCAGTCAGTACAGATTCATGAGTTGGTCCCTGGATAATTTCTGTATCAATATTCCCTGTTTGCCCACAGTTATTAACTGCAACAGTCAAATCCATTTTCTCATTCATCAAGTCCATCTTCTCATGCATCTGTTCCAGCAGGGCACTTGTCTTGCATAAGGCAAGCACCCATTCTTCTTTCCAGCTCATCTTTAGTCAAGGTCAGAAAAGCCTGTTCCCACGGTCTTAATCTCACATCTGTTGAGCCCTCAAATGTACTGCAGCAACAATTTGACAAGCTCCCTCTAGAGGAGGCAATTTCTATTTGTATCCCTTTTTTTAGGCAAGTCCAACAAAGGAAAATTACTTTTGTTTTTCAGATATTTTTCAGATATTTTGTTTCTTTAAAATGCAAAAGGCAACATTGGAATCAGCTTGTTTCTCTTCTTTAGCTATCTGTCAAAATATTCCATTAATAGTCAATGAACCTCTCCAACAATTTCTGTCTCTGACACCCCGTTCCCAGGTTAGAGACGGTGGAAACTTATCCTTCTTCACTCCCTCTCCTGCTAGGGTTGAACAAAGTTCCCCCCCCCCCTTTTCTCCTGCTTCCAAGGGGGTTTCAGTAATTCCAAATGAAGGAAATTTAGACTTTTTTGACAGTTTTCCAGGCTTTAGTTTACAAAGTTTTTGCTTTAGTCTATATACAAAAAGCGAAAGGCAGACTTCCTGTTTTAAACCTTCCCGCTTCGTTACCGAATTAAGAAATTTCTTGATCCAATTTTCCGTTTCTACTCACGGGTACTTGTTTTAAATCCAATTGTCCACAGGAAAAAGTCAGCGCTCTCCGGCAATGGCTGTGCAGCTTCACTCCGTGAAAGTAGCAGTCAGTTCGCAGCACCGCGCTTCTCACCCCACTTCGCTCCGGAGCCCCTAAATGGGATTCCCTGCGAGTAGGGGGGTGCGCCTGGTGCTCTGCCGAACCCCACGTTCCCAGGCTTCCTCCGCCTGGGATTTCTAGCGGGTCCCCACCTTCGCCGCGGCGGGAAGACCCAGTTTCCACGGAGTCCGTTCCTCCGAACGGAGGAACTCCGCCATTCACCGATGGCGCTGACCCGGAAGTCCGGCAATAGTTCTCTCCTGCTTCTCTCACATAGCACTCATATCGCCCCACCTTTCACGCATGTGCAAGCACCTTACACATGTACAGTGTATGAGCAGCAGCATCTCTGGTTAAGTCCAGTCAAAGGCGACACATTAATGCACAACTACACAAAACAGGCATGCAGTAGCATGTCTCTCTCATTCATAGACACACATACGCACAAGAGATGCTGCCTGCTCCATCTAACAATAGTCTCTGGCCTTCTAGGGAGGAGCCTTGTTTAAATCTTCAAAATGGAAATGTTTCCAGATGACCTGTTTATTGAGCATTCATTCTTTGATTGTAGGGAGGTTAGGTGACGTTGCATCAATGCAAGTGTTCTCCTGCACTTTTGGGTGCATTTCCCCGTCACTTTCCTTATTATAGAAAGTCTTAAATTTGAGGGAAGAAGGTTTGTTGCACAAAACCTTCCAAGCAACTTATAACCAGGGTTTTTGTTCAGCTGGAACGCACAGGAACTCAGTTCCAGCACCTCTCAGGTGGGTGCCACTGCCATTCTCAGAGAACTGGGGAAGCATTCATGGTGAGTTCTGGCACCTCTTTTTCTAGAAAAATAGCACTGCCTAGAACCATGTGGCGCTGTGGTCTAAACCACAGAGCCTAGGGCTGGCTGATCAGAAGGTGGGCAGTTCAAATCCCCTCGACGGGGTGAGCTCCCATTGCTCGATCCCTGCTCCTGCCAACCTAGCAGTTCGACAGCACATCAAAGTGCAAGTAGATAAATAGGCGGGAAGGTAAATGGCGTTTCCGTGTGCTGCTCTGGTTTCACCAGAAGCAGCTTAGTCATGCGGCCACATAACCTGGAAGCTGTATGCCAGCTCCCTTGGCCAATAAAGCGAGATGAGCGCCGCAACCCCAGAGTCGTCCGCGACTGGACTTAATGGTCAGGGGTCCCTTTGCCTTTACCTTTACGTAATAATTGCCTGTGTCACCTCTCAGCTTCACAGAAACCCTAACCCTTTACCTTTACCTTACAACCATGTAACCTGAACTTGCTGCTATGTTACTGGAACCCACCCCAAAATAGTGACAGTCTGGAAGCTCCTGCAAGGTAAATTTCAAGGTAAATACTGCAAGGTAAATTTCCAAAAGAAAACCTATAAAGGGTAGGGTCATGTCTCACAAAAGGCACCCTTGTTAATAAAAACAAAATATATAAACTATATTAATGTGGCCATTCTTCATTTAGATTTCTCAATTATTTGGCCAGATTGTACCTCTTGCCAAATAAATTCTCAGAACCAAATCTCATATGGATACGACTAATTGTCTTGCATACATGATGAAAGTATTTACAGGTTTTCTAATAGTAAAACACAGAAAAATGAAGATGCTTTGCTGATCCTGTGGCTCCATATTTTTGGTAGGCTTGCTCCCCCCTCTCTATCACTGCCTTCAGATATACTAAGGCTTAAATCAGCTGTCATGTCAATTTCACATCTTGGAATTTTGTGAATAAGACAATCTCTTCATCTCTGTTGCTTGGAAATGGGATATAACACTAGGAAGGGATTACAGAGAGATTGTGGTGTGTGCGTGTGTGTACACACACACACACACACACACACACACATATACACACACATACACACTCACACCAAAAAAATCCCTTTGGACTAAAGTTTGGATAAGCCCTCAGTCAATTAAAATCTTATTTCTGCTGTAAACTAATTTAATATGAGTAGGACTATTGGGAATTGTATGTGGGATGTGTGTGTTTGCTGACTAAAATTTATTTATATTTCTAATCTTCCTTCTTCCCATGGCTCGGGGCACATAGTAACTATCTAAAAATATTCAGAAGTACAGCACACAACAAAAGACAATGAAAGCAACATAAAACAGGCAAGAAGAGCAAGGGTGGTCGATCTGATGCCCTCCAGATTTTGCAGACTACAAATCCCATCACTCCTGACCATTGAACATGCCAGCTGGGGCTGATGGTCACCCCTGAACTAAAGCGTCACCATGTTCATCTTGGACTATCCAAGGCTACTCCCTAAAAGCGTGTAAGAATGGCACTCATTCACACAAGCTTAAGCGAAGTTATATGTGGCAAGCTGTGAATGGATTTGCTGCCTTTAAGGCAGCTGGAGCTGCTTCTTAGCAGGAGATCAGAGCTGCAATTCAAAAGCACTTCAGCAAGCACAGCTTTAGTGTTTAGCATAGGATATTACACACACACACACACACACACACACACACACACACTTACACTGGCAGATTCAGTGGTCTTGGATCCAACAAAAGTAATTACAAATATCTTGAATACTTGTTGGAATTCGGATCAGAATTCAAATATACTGGAAAACTAGATAATAGATTTGTCACACTGGTTGCCTGATAGCTTCAGCTGTCTCTTGGGTAGTCATTATTTATGTATGTATTTGTATTCACAAGTTCTGGGTTGTCTACACTCAAGTGCATTATTGGGGACCTGTTATAACCCATTAAGAAAACCATGACTTTATAGCTCAAGGTGGAAGATGTACTGTCTTTATACATCTCCCATTAGTTGGTTAGGCGGGATAACAAACACATAGATATTGTAGGGGAGGGGGGCACCATTCACAATATTTGGTTTAGATTATGATTCAGCATTTTGAAAAACAGTCATCTTCAGTCTGAGGCATTTTGTAGCCTGTACAATTCAGCTCAGGATTCATCCAAGTGTGCTTCATTTGCTCCCTATTCGGTATTGGGAAATTTTAAAATGGCTATACAGTGGTACCTCGGGTTACATACGCTTCAGGTTACATATGCTTTAGGTTACAGACTCCGCTAACCCATAAATATTACCTGGGGTTAAGAACTTTGCTTCAGGATGAGAACAGAAATTGTGCTCCGGCGGCGCGGCAGCAGCAGGAGGCCCCATTAGCTAAAGTGGTGCTTCAGGTTAAGAACAGTTTCAGGTTAAGAACGGACCTCCGGGACGAATTAAGTACTTAACCCGAGGTACCACTGTACTGTAGTTTCTTTTCCTTTTGAGAGGAATGAATGAAATTTCCAGACATACTAGCCCCTTCAGGATGGCTAAAGCCTGACAAATCATAAGCAAATGGCTCCAGGAGATTTTGAGTTGGGCACACTATGTTAAAAAAAGGGGGGGTTAAAAAGTTACACTTGTAACTTTTTTGTTTTTTGACAGAATCCCCTCTGAGGGCATTAATACTTCCAAAACTGAGAGGGTTAGCTGTGGTTTTCTTGTAAGCAACCACCGCCTGCAGTCTTCAGATGAAGGGCAGTATACCAATTTTAACAACAACAGCAGCAACAACAACAATAATAATACTAATAATAGGGGGAGACTTCTAAGGGCAAGGGCAAAATCAAACCTTCTGCCAGGATTATGAAATGTGTCTTCCTTCCCAAGTACCACTCATGTTGCCTAGCAACACACTATTATTTTCCACATTCCATGTTACTATCCCATTTTTCATTCTTTAACTCATGTATCCGTACATTAGGCATTTTATGAGCTACATGCATGGACTCATACGCCTCTGCTTCAGTAATCTATCCCTGCCATCTTTCTACAGTGTGGTGTAGTGGTTAAGAGCAGTAGTCTCGTAATCTGGTGAACCGGATTCGCGTCTCCACTCCTCCACATGCAGCTGCTGGGTGACCTTGGGCTAGTCACACTTCTCTGAAGTCTCTCAGCCCCACTCACCTCACAGAGTGTTTGTTGTGGGGGAGGAAGGGAAAGGAGAATGTTAGCCGCTTTGAGACTCGCTAGGGTAGTGATAAAGCGAGATATCAAATCCAAACTCTTCTACATCCTCATTAATACAGCAACCTGTACATCTCTCCATGTACATGTCTGGGGCCTTATGCCACATTTATGTTATGGCAGGGATGAATATAAGATTGGAGCTGCAAAAGGAAGCTGGTGAGAGGAAGGGAGTGGCCAGTGTAGGAAATGGCATCATTGTCCCTCTCTGAGGTCAGACTTCTGGACCAGTAGCAGAGGGGAGTGATACAACTGAGCTCTCTGGAGTGAGGAATGTTGGGGTTGAGTGGAGGCAGGGGGAGGGAATGACCTGCACATCATTTTTCACACATTCTGATGTTGTGTCTTCCCTCTGTACAAGGAGAGAGGAGATTTGGATCCTACCTCCTCTCGTTACTATCTACTCATTTGCTTAAAAAATTAACAATTTCATATGCTATAGGCTCACCCACACTTCAGATCGCCCCGTGCTTTTTAGGCATAGGTCCAAGCAGTTTTTTCATTTGCCCTGCTTCTTTCCCTAGGAAAACTTGTTTACCACTGAATCGGTACAAACATCAATCCACAGAAAAACCAATTGGCGTTTGTTCCGATTCACCAGTAAACAGCGGGTTTTCCTGGGAGGGAAGGCAGCAAGACAAGCAGAAGTATGGATGAGCCCTATGTTCCGGAAAACAAAACAAATATGTATTTGCATGATGACACCACCTGAAGTATACCTGAAGGAGCATCTTCATCCCCACTCTTCAACCCGGATGCAGAGGTCCAGTTCCAAGGGCCCTCTGGCAGTTCCATCACTGCAACTGCAGGTGAAACTACAGAGAACCAGACAGAAGGCCTTTTTGGTAGTTTTGGTAGTTGAAACCGCCCTGTTTATCAAAGAGATAAACAACTCTATCATTTTTCATAGCCATCTGAAGGCAGCCCTGTTTTGGGAAGCTTTAAATGGTGGTGGTGGTTCTTTCCTGTATTTTTGTTGGAAGCCACCCAGAGTGGTTGGGCAACCCAGTCAGATAGGTGGAGTATAAGAAATAAATTAGTAGTAGTAGTAGTAGTAACTAAAGTTTTTTAGGCTTCAGTCCTAACACACTCTCACATGCATGCTGGAGAACAGTGCTGCTGGCAGGTGAACTCTGATGCAGTGGATGTCCTGTCTGTGGTGATGCAGATGGTAAGCTACCACCAGTGGTCCTTCAGTGGAAAGTCCATGAAGTGAGGCATTTATGGTGAGGGCAGAGCACCAAAAGCCTAGAGGTCTATTCCATCCTAAGCCCTGTGGATGCCCTGAAGGGCCCAATCTTTGGATCCCTCAACTGTGCCAGAGCTGACATAGCAAATTATAGTGGCGCGGGAATGGTTTAGTTTGGAAAAGCATATAAAAAGTAAATAATCATATTCGCAGTGCTCCAGCTAAAGAAGCCACATGTGCAAACATTTAGATATGGTTCAGTGAGATGGTGTTTTATCCTCAGCTGATAGACTAGATCTGCCTTTGCCCACCTGGTACCCTTCAGATGTTCTAGACTAAAACTTCCATTAGCCTCAACCAGCTCACGCTAGCTAGGGTGATAGGAATTGTAGTGCAAAATAATTAGCATCATTACCTCAGGTTTGCATCAAAAATGTTAAGCATTAGTCTTTTGTCTAAGGGCAGCAGTCTTTTAAAATAAAAGGGACAATCTGATTTTGCTACCATAAAAGAAGGTAACAGTGTGACTTGGAAGTATCTCCCTGAACTTCAGGGTTATTGATTTTTTAGAGTGTAAAAAAGTAACATTGTTGCTGCTGCTGTCATTTTAATTTATTACCTGCCCTTCGCCATAAGGTCCCTGGTTAGCTTGCAACAATTAAATACAGTTTAAAAACTTACAATTGCAAAAAAAATAAAAATAAAATGCAACCAGAAAAAATAGGTTGTGTCAAAGGCCAGGACGAAGAAACATATACTTGAACCCCATGTTTGCCAACCAGAGTTCCATGATGGAAAAAAGGAAATATATAAATGTAAAATAAGCAATGCATTGTAAAATGGATTACTGATGCGCAATGGAGTCTTCCCAAACTTCATCAATAAAGGATGAATTCACAAAATAGTTTAATACATTTTTGAGAATGAGACACTGAAAGTTTGTTTAAATTATCATGCTACTTCTCTAACAGATTACTACTACATTATATATAATTTAATTGCAAAAAGAGGTTATTTAAAAATATCTACGTTTGTATATTGACTCTTCTTGCAAATCCCCATTCCTTCACTTCAGAAGAAAAGTGAGGTACATGATAAAAACTATCCAAGGCAACAGATCCATGCTAATAAAAATATGAATTACACTGCTCCATAGGCCGTTTCAGATGTTCTGATGAGGTTAATTTAACATACAAGAAAGGGCCACAGGCCAAGCATATTAGCTTCATTCCCATGATGGAGGGCACATCCTGTACTTGAAGTACTTCCTGTGCATTTTGAGACTCCTAAGTTAGCTCTCAATCAGAATGCTCGAAGAGTGCTTATATAATCATGCTCAAAACTGTTTCGTTCTATTCAGGTAACTCACTGAAAATTCCTCATAAGGCCACAGTCCTATGCACCTGTAACTCTATAAACAGTCATGGGATCAAGGTGGAAAATACCAAATTTTGTTTAAATGCATGTCCACCCCATCCCCCAGTGCACAGTAATTTGCATTTCATTGGGGGGAAAGAAATCTGCTGGTGCTGTTGCTAGCTTTTCCTACTTCGTTGCATTTCAATTTAAAATCTGGAGAAAATTAAAATCCTTACTACTACAACAACAAAAATCGTCTTTCCTTCATGGGCTACAAAGAAAAGATAGTTTTGTAGGCCAGGCTGCACTCCTCCTCCTGAACACTGCAGCTTTGCATATGGCAGTTCCCTTTGTTCTGTGGGGAACCCTCTGGTGAAGTGGATGGGCTTCCACATCAATGTTCTCTGAAGATAATAGTAAAGGATGTCCAGTGTGGACCTCTTTCTCCCTTCTCTGAGGCTTCCTCATTCGTGGATCAGTTCAAGGAAGCTGGTTGTGCTTATCCTACAGCCAGTTCTGCACAGCTGGCGATATACTCTGTGGTCTCTGCATCTGTGAATAACTCAAAGATTTGGCTGGCCTCCTGTACCTGCATCGTGTTTTGCTCTTCTACAGCCCCAGGGCAAGAACATGGTCTCAAATCAGAAAAGGATACCCTTTCAGCATAAGAAACCATATCTGGTTCAAAATGAAACAGTTCACTCGGACTGCAAAACGTATTCCTTAAATGATACCTAAAAGTATCCATGAAGTTACTACTTGGTGTTTAATGTCTGTTTAGTTGGAGCTGAATTTATTCATGAGAGTGGGAAACACACTGATGCTCAGTCCTAGGAAGAGGAGGAGATGTGTCAGATATCTTAGATTGTTATTTTTTTAAATATTCCTCTGGGCTTCTCTTCTTCTTCTAGTGCTCTCCTATACTTGAGCATTCCAGACAGCAAAAACTCCTCTCAGATTAGCCATTCTTTTTAACCATAATCTTTTTGTCCATCTTGTGCTACCAAACCGTTTTTCCCCCCAGCAGGTCAGATTTCTCCCTCTTTTCCCAGATAATGGATTATTTGTAGCTGAAGCAGTGCTGAAGTATTCTGAAACGTGGAGGAAATATGTTCCATGGAGCTGAAAAAGGAACAATCAAGAACATCCGTTAAAAAGACCAATAAATCCTAATAAAGACAAATGGCTCGTCAATATGAGGCAAAGGTGCAAGAGTTTGTGTATGCAGGGTTAGAAACGGAAGACATTTTTCATTGTTGAAACAAGAAGGGGAAAATGAACCTGCACACTTTGGGAAACCACTTGTGATTTCACAATTATTATTTTTTTTAATCTCTGCAATTAATTGAAAGATTTAATGTGATACCTTGTTACTAGGCAAAGCCTTTGTACATAATTATAGCAGACTGCAACATGGCACCAGAAATGTAAAATATGCAGAGATTTGGTTGCAAAATGTTTTGTTTAATAGGAGCCAGATTCATGTGGATAATACATAGAATTCTCAGACAGACATGCCCACAGCACTTATGAGAACAAACCTCTCCATACCTCTTTTACTAAGCAAGCTGTTGTGGGTTTTAAAAGGAGAGAGGTCAATATGCCTTTATAAAGACAGTGGAAGTAGACTTAATAGTTTTCCCTACTGAGAATAGAACATAACTATTTAAAACATAATTAACAATAGGATGTCAGTCACTTTTTTGTAGGATTTTATGTCTGGGGAGTTTCAGCGCTCCCAATTAGCTTAATGGGGCCACTGTGCTAGTTAACAAATTGACAGTCTTGACCTGCCTGGCGGAAACAACTATAAAGCAGTTTGGAAAATGAAGATGAATAGCAGAAGTCTCGCTGCAGATAGGACCCAAATATCATTTTATATGTCTATTCATGTTTCTTACGACAGAAAAACAAATGATGATGATCCTGTTGCATCCAAAATGGACAGGATCACAGACCTTACGCTTGTAAATATTGGGAAATTTGCAGGGAGTACCTTCAGATCCCAGCCACCTCTGTGCTCTCCAAGACAAGAGTGAACCTTTCAAAAGGTGAAATTACCTTCTACGTAATCTCAGTAGGGGTTTTACTTTAGTTTAAGAGTACCTAAAGATCTGAATTTGAACTCTGGTATTATCAGATTGAAAATCTGCAGGGTTTTCAATGATTCAATGAAAAGCCTGATGGTTTTTCATGTGCATATTAAGCTGCCACCTAAATATGGTCTTCCTAATTCATTCTAATTTTGGAAAATATTTATTATTAGATATAGCTGCCCATCAACAAATGATCCATTAGAGATTAGAGAACAAAAAAGTAAAATACAGTATTAAAAGGCAATATAATAAAAAAACATTTAAAAACACGGAAATGTGGCATTAGAAAGTCTCCTTTCAGGGAAAAGTACAATTAGTAGCTCAGTTTACAAAATAAAACACAGCTTTCCCCAGATATATTTCCATGAGCAGGGTCTTGAGCAGGGCTTTTGTTTTCTTTCCTCCACCCCCCACTCCATTATTCCAGTATTATTTTACCTAAAGTGCTGAGTTGTGTTTTATTACTTCTTTTTTTGGATTTCCTCTGTTTTGTCTTATATTATTTTTAACTGTATTGTACCTAGATGCTTTTTATGTTTAAATTGCTTGTGTGAGCTGTTGTGAAAGGGATTTGCCCTGAAAGGTGGCACATATACAGGAAGGAAGAAAGAAAAGAAACATTTAATTTTATTGATATGAAAAAGCATTTGATAGAGTTGAATAAGAAGCTTCCAAATCTTTTCATTTTCATATGTAGATAAGAATGATATATAAGTCACTAGCTGCCAGAATTTTGATCAATAATAGGCTTTTAGACGGCTGTCTTCTTCCCTGTTTATTATTTAAGTTTGCTGTAGAAAATTTCTGCAATAGCTGGCAAATAAAAGATTTAATAAGGATTTAAGACTGAACAATAAATTGTCAAACATAGCCATCCATGCTGTCTGTCATTTTACAAATGATCCATCAGTTTAGCAGTATCTCAGTTACAAAATGAGAAATGAGAATGTCAAGCAATTTTTTAAAAAATCCCCTGCCCCTCAAAATGTGTGTGTGTGTGTGTGTGTGTGTGTGTGTGTGACTGTCATACTCCCATAGTGTTATTCATGGGAAATATGATAAGGGTTAGGAACTTGCTTTAAAGACACCCACAGGTAGCTTAAATTTGTGAGACTACATGGACTTTGCTATTCACTACAAAAGCAGGGAAAGAACCATCTGCATTCCAACTGCACACACAGAGCTTTCTCTGATAATACTTAAAATTAAGCAGATTTGCAGGGCTTGTATTGATTTGCATAATTTAGTCTGACCACAATATTTGAGTTTCCCTGCCACAAACAAACAATGGGGGAGGAAAGGAAATCATCTTCTGTGCCATTACACCCCCCTGTGTTGTGTCTTTGTTATGTACTGAGTTGAATAGGATCCAAAAGACAGCAGTCTGATTGGTCCTAGAACAATAGGATCCAAAATGCAGCAGTCTGATTGGTCCTAGAACAATAGGATTCAGAATGCAGCAGTCTGATTGGTCCTAGAACAATGAAGCAGTCTGATTGGTCCACAGGAGCCACCCAATCCAGCTCCAGGTGGAAGTGAATCCGCAACCTGATTGGCCCACGGGAGAATCCCAGAATTAGCCAATCACGTGCGACCCATTGTGTAAATAATGTATATAAAGCAGATATTTGGGGGAACATTCATTCCTCACTACTATGAGCTGAATAAAGAGCATGAAATCCACACTCGACTCCGAGTATATTTCAGTCTTTTACAAAATAGACTTCATAGGTAAGCTCAGTGTTTTACTTCCATTTCAGTTAAAGTTCTCTTAACTTTGATAACTCATGAAGTGAAGACATGACAGTTTTGAATTGAATAACTGTCCTCACTAGCATAATTCTTCCTAGCGACAACTGTGGCTTCCTCCTAGCACAGCGCATTACCAGCCCTGATTGCTATGGTTCCATTGTGTGTGTGTGTGTGTGTGTGTGTGTGTGTGTTTTATTATTATTTCTAAAAACCCTTGATGAAAACCACACCTATATGCACATATAAATGAATGCACCTTGGGACACATTCTCCTTTACTGATTTGTCCTCCCTTCCTGACTTTATGATGGCATTTGAACTGTCGCTTTCTCCTTTATTCCAGGGCATGGATTATATGGAACTTTTGAAATGTTGTCCTCCTGGAGGAAAACGAGGGAAGACCAACATGTGAAAGAGAGAACTGCCGCCGTGTTTGCAGACTCCATGCTCTCCTTTTCTCTCACCACTGCCATGTACCTGGTCACTTTTGGGATAGGTGCCAGCCCCTTCACTAACATTGAAGCAGCCAGGCTCTTCTGCTGCAATTCCTGTATTGCAATTTTCTTCAACTACCTCTATGTACTCTCCTTTTATGGTTCCAGCCTCGTGTTTACTGGCTACATAGAAAACAACTACCAGCATAGTATCTTCTGCAGAAAGGTACCAAAGCCAGACGTCTTGCAAGAGAAGCCTGCCTGGTATAGGTTTCTTCTGACAGCCAAATTCAGTGAGGACACGGCAGAGTCAGAGGAGACAAACAGCTACGAAAGCCACCTCTTGGTGTGTTTCCTCAAGCGTTATTACTGTGACTGGATAACGAACACGTATGTCAAGCCTTTTGTAGTTCTCTTTTACCTTATTTATATTTCCTTTGCCTTAATGGGCTACCTGCAGGTCAACGAAGAGTCAGACATTAGTAACATTGTAGCAACTGCGACACGAACCATGGAGTATACTGCTGCTCAGCAGAAATACTTCAGTAATTACAGTCCAGTCATTGGGTTTTATATCTATGAATCCATCGAATACTGGAACATGACCGTCCAAGATGACATGCTAGAGTACACCAAGGGGTTTGTGAGGATATCGTGGTTTGAGAGCTACTTAAATTACCTTAGAAAACTCAACATATCGACGGGTTTACCCAAAAAGAATTTCACAGATATGCTGAGGAACTCCTTTCTGAAAGCGCCCCCGTTTGCCCATTTTTCAGAGGATATAATTTTCTCCAAGAAGTACAACAACGAAGTCGACATTGTGGCCTCTCGAATGTTCTTGGTGGCCAAGACCATGGACACCAAACGGGAAGAGCTTTACCATCTCTTGGAAACCTTAAGAAAGCTCTCCCTCAAATCCAAGGTCAAGTTCATTGTCTTCAACCCTTCGTTTGTCTACATGGATCGTTACGCCTCGTATGTGGGGGCCCCCTTGCAGAACTCCTGTATCAGTGCTTTATTCCTCCTCTTCTTCTCTGCGTTCCTGGTGGCAGACTCTCTCATCAATGTGTGGCTCACGCTCACTGTTGCCTCAGTCGAATTTGGAGTTATAGGTTTTATGACCTTGTGGAAAGTAGAGCTGGACTGCATTTCTGTGCTGTGCTTAATTTATGGGATTAATTATACTGTTGACAACTGTGCACCTCTCTTGTCAACGTTTGTCCTGGGCAAAGATTTCACAAGAACTAAATGGGTGAAGAATGCCCTGGAGGTGCATGGGGTAGCTATTTTACAGAGCTACCTCTGCTACATTGTTGGTCTGATTCCTCTCGCAGCTGTGCCTTCAAATCTGACCCGTACACTGTTCAGGTGCTTGTTTTTGATAGCATTAGTCACCTTCTTTCATTGCTTTGCCATTTTACCTGTGATACTGACTTTTCTGCCACCATCCAAGAAAAAGAGGAAAGAGAAGAAAACTCCTGAGAACCGGGAGGAAATAGAATGTGTTGAAATGGTGGATATGGATAGCACCCGAGTGGTTGACCAAATTACAACAGTCTGACTTAGTTGGTTTGTTTTTCTTTTTAAAAACAAAACAAAAATAAACAAAAAAACAAGCCACCCTAGATCTTACCAAGAGAAGAAAATCATATTGATTATATAAACAATGGTGTTTGGATCTCTGTTTTCAAATTAAAACCAGGAGCATCCAAAGCAGTGTGTGAAGGGGGGGGGGAAATAGCTATACATTGATTGGCCTTCACATAAAAAGTACAGTGAAATTTACATTCACCCAATACAAAGAGAGTGTCAGTTTGGGTTGCTGCCTGAGATAAGAGAGTAGAAGAGTTGGGTTGGTGACTAAATAGCAAACTGCTTGTGTTTGTCCTGCAGATGTTCCTGCCCTTGTGGCAAAATCCCAGCACATTGAAAGGTCAACTGTCAAGGCTGAAGGAGCCGTTAAGTGTACGTTTTGGACATCAAGGCTATAGGAAACTTTCAATACAGCAATAACTCAAGTCAGTGAGTCAGCTATTATGGATCTTAGCCATCACATCTAACTTCCCTTTTTGTTGCTTCCTCCCCCCCCTCCCTCCGCCGCCTTTTCTGAATGGAAATGCATATGCAAGTTTGTTAAACAACAACAACCACAAAAGGCCAAGAAGATTTTTTAAAAAATACATACGCAAGGGTAAAACACAGCAATCACTGTCAGTGTAGGGTCATGTTGCAGTTGCCTTCTTTTCTGAATCAAGAGATGTTTTAAAATGTAATCAACCCCCAGTATATTTTTTAATATGACATGATTTTGTAGCATTTCTTTTTTTTTTCTTTTTAAAGAAAACAGGGAAATAATGATATGTATACAACACAGAGACAATTCTTGTTCTCTGATCCAGCTCCGCTTTCTGAATGTGATGGTCTCATTTCAGAGACCTGGTTTACTGATGCTAGATTTTGTAGCACTCTCTTAAATATGCTAGGGGGGGGTCTAGTGGCAGAATAGAGAAGGGATATATTAAGAACTTCACCACCAAAATCCATGAAATAAGCCTCCGATGCCTAAATTTCATCAAGCAAATGTGAATGTTAGGGCTCTTTTTCAAATAAGAGCCTTCACTCCAGGCCATTCACTAGTAATACACATGATGAGGTTCAATGAGCAGCTTTACGTAACGTGTAATGTGGGCTACGACCCTCTGTCAGTAATTTCCATTTCAGTAATCTCATGTGTAGACCATGAGTCACGGAAATTAGTGGGGCTACTTTCAAAGAAGTGGCTTTTGAACTCTCAGTGTTGCATCAAGTTTATGTTAAGAGCAGATGTCCTGATAATAATGGAAAACAATGGACGCCACCCCTGCCCTTAATAAATAAAGAAATAAATGTTTGATACAGAAAACTAGAGACAGGTGGAAACCAATTTAACAGATAAATTATTAACATTATTGCAGTGATCTATGCCAGAGGAGTTTTTAAAATATTCGTGTCTCTTTCCCAATCTTAGCTAAAGCAATGCTACTGCCCCTTACAAGCTTTAATGAAAGTGTTAGAAACCAAATCTTATGATGCTGCTTTAGCTTCCATGGCATGGGAAAATATCCTGTGGATAGTAACCTGCAAGCCACCCCCACCCATCCCAGTCATCAACATTATTGCACTGGCATTGGGCAGGCAGCACTGGGCAGCCAACCTTCCAGTCTTACCCTATGATTTTCCTATAGATCTGTTTCTTAGCCCTGCACCTGCCCTGAAAAAAAAAACACCTTTTGGTCATTGGAGCTGTGCAAAAGCTGTGCTAGAACCCTTATGCGGCAGTACCAGTGACTGCTGCAGATCCAACACCGAGAATGAGTTTTGACCTCAAGATCAGGGCAAGGAGTGTATTTGCCCTCTTCTGTTGGCACTGGGTCATTTAGGCCAGTTCCTATGAGCTAGTGTAGAGAATGGATTGGGCTATTAATGCCACAGCCAAGAAAGTGAACCAATGGTCTGGCTTCCACAAATAATCTTTCAATAATAAAGAATATTTTTGTTAGAGGGAAAAGTTAGAATGAGCTTCTATCTTCAGATTTTATATACAGTATATAAGCATTCCGATTTCCCCCATGGAATCTGTCAAGGACTTAAAAGAGTGCACAAATTATCTCCCATACGTCTAGCTAACAAAAGTGGTCTCTCCTCAATCACAGATGTTTCCGATTACCTGCAGTTTGGACAAACTTGGAGGATAAGCACACGAAGCATTTGCTGAAACAAACTAGTGATTTGGTGAAGTCTCTTTTGTTCATTTCCAGATATCCATCCAAGCCATTCTTGCTGCTCCGCTTTGATGGAGGAGCTTCTTTTGTTGCTGTTCAGCTGTTGGGTATCTGTATGTATGCGCAAGTTAAGATGTTTTGTTTCAATGTAAAGTATTTTGTCATTCTTGCCAGCTTGAGAGGTGCTCAAGCAGGAGACATTTGCATCCCTGCCAAACCTTTTTCCTTCCTAAAATGGAAATCACACACAGGCACACAAAGTACCATAATGCCCAGGTTTGGCAAGCTGCTGTGAGCACAAACACTCTGACTGATATACAGTAGAGACTGGAAGTTGCAATGTACCTTCCTTCTTGCGATGTACCTGCAGTGTACCTTCCTTCTATGATTCATCAGCTGCATACAGCAGTGGTTTTCAACCAGTGTGCCGTAGCACCCCGGGGTGCCTTTAATGATGGTCAGGGGGTGTCATGGGCAACACTGGCCTCTGTCCCTCTTTCTTTCCTTCCCTCCCTCCTCTGATACACTCTCGTGTCACTGCCTCCCAAAAGCTTGCACAGCTGCTTGTTGCAGCAGCCCTGGCTACTCGCTCCCCAGGTGAATGGTGCCTCAGGGGCTGGCCAGGAGATGCGTCCCAGGCCCCTGTGAGGAGGTGTGAGGAGACACCTCTCTTTGGGGCAGAGGGGGCAGCTCAGAGAGCAAGGGTGGCAGCAGTGGCTGCCCAGAGGACTCTCAAGGAGAGGGGAAAGGAGAAGAGGCTGAGGAAACACTCCACAAGGGAGGGTGTTTGGAAAAAGTGTGAGAGACCGCCAGCTCTGCAGGAAAGGGGTGACATAACTCCTGAGTCCTACAGGGTTGCCGCAGAAAGAATGTAGTTGGTCAAGGGAGCCGTGGACTCAAAAAGGTTGAAAATCTCTGGCATGCAGTTTAATCCTGAGCTGCAGGTGTGTGTCTGTGTGTGTGTGTGTGTGTGTGTGTGTGTGTAGTTTGCATAATTTGGACAGGGAATTATAAACCATGGAGGTCAATGGGGAATGAAATGCAGAAAAGTACAAGTAGTACGATGCTAATTCACAAAACAGATATTAATACTACATACATTGTGGCTTTGTTATAAGTATGTGCTAAAAATTCTTTGTCTTGGATTAGTCCACAAGTGAGTGCATTGACCCTCATGAAGTAGTGAACTTCGACGGTTTCACATTGCAGTCCCCCTTTGAAGGTTGTTTGTTCCAAGATAGACACTGAAAGTCACTTACTGAAGTCCTAGGAGGTTGAAATGTTCCCCTGCTGGCTTTTGAACTTATAATTTCTGATGTCAGATTTGTATCCTTTGATTCTTTTGCATAGCGACCAGAGTGTTTGTCTTATTTAGAATTCAGAATGGCATGGCTGATAGACGATGTCATATATTATACTGAAGATGAGTTGAATGAACCCCTGATGTTATGGATGACATTATTAGGTCCTGTAATACTCTTGTCTGAGTAGGCATGGAGACAAAGCTGATATCTGGGTCTGCCATGGGTTGGTATCTTTCCTTTGTGACCTGTTGCTGCTGGTGGATCCACTTTGGAACATACAAACTACTTTAAAGAGGCAAGCAAATTCTTCGTTCACAAATTCACCCCAACAGAAGCTGAAGCCCTATGGCACAATTTAATTTACAGTAAGATAAATATATTTCTTTTGCTGAAAATTTTAAATTATTTCCATCGCATAGAAAGTGATTTTGTTCTTCCTACCCCAGGTTATGGTCTAGCAAAATCTTTTATCTGAAAATCTGTACACTTGCTTCAATTATTTTTCCATACTTGCTTTTAAGCTGGATTCTAAATTTGCCTTCCAGATACACAGCGAAATAAATCCATTGCAAAGATACGGACATTTAAATCTCACTGGAATTAATGAGGCTTTAAAATAGCAACTCTGTGTTGGATTGTGGCCACTGATCTTAGATCTTCTATGGCACATCATTACATTTTCAAAATATCACCCACTTACCCTAAGTGCTAATCACTTAAAAGGCAGTTACAGTAAGCTTTTAAGTTTACTCTATTATAATTCCTTTAACCAAAAAACTCATTTAAAAACATTACAACACCCATTTAATAACTGATTGGTCAGAGCAGATTTTACTCCAGGGGTGGCAGAATTACCGGTAGCTTAATTTACTTGGCCTAGCAAGTTCATTCACACTGGTATTCCTGGAGATATTATTCCCTATAGTGGCTTTGTGCAAATTCATTCTCAATTTACAAGTGATCTGAGTCTAGGGAGAAATGAAGGAAGAAAAACTGGAGCAATTGGAACAATTTCACTGCAAATGATCCATATCCAAAACTTACGCCCAGCATTTTATGGGAAACAATGCAAATTAGATGAAGACTAGAGTTCAAAAACCTGAAGAAGATCTATCCAGCAAAGAAAAACATCTTTCTTCCCTAAATGCCAACCACCTTATTAAATGAGGCCAGGCCTGTAAAAGCTTAAGGACTACTAAATGGTTTGATGTTACCCGGAAAGGTGCCAATGTCTCTTAGCATCCTATGAGGCTTCATATGACAGTGCTTGGTGCAGCAGCAGTAGGGTTTTCTAAGTGCTATTTTCTGTTCTTCTGATGTTTATTCTCCTGCCAATAGATAACCCCTGCTGCAGTCAATGACTTGTTTCCATCATGAAAGCAGAGACAAAACTAGTTTTGTTTTGGCTGGGAAATTCAGAGAAGTCAGAATTCACTTAGGAAACCCATCTTCAAACAACAAAAACTAAGCACCATGTTCAACCATATTTGGGGGGA